TATTGCAGCATACTTATAAAATTACAGGGACCATAAGGGAATACTATTAGTAACTTATTAGTAACTCTTCCGACCCCTATAGTACGGTTGAGGGTTTATGAGCTTCGGAGCTTCGGATGCTGACGTTGCAGTCGTCTCCGGCCTCTTCACCGTCACAAGCACCGAGGCGTTCTCGCAATCGTGCCAGGCATGATCCTCGTTGGCCCACACGACCTGCAGAAGGAAACCCTACCTTAAGGCTCCTATGTAGTACCTTTTAGGGTAGCATACTAAAATCTCCTATAACTAACCCCAAAAGGAACTACATTGGAGCCTCTGGGTACACCCTAAACCTTAAACCCTCAACCCCGTGAAACCGATAGCCCTCGCCTTGATAATGGGTGCCGGTGGTGGCGGGGTCAACGCGTTAAGAAGTTACATTCGCAAGCGTGGAAGCCGCAATGATCATGGTTAGCTAACCGTGGTGGCACTTTTGGGGTTTAGGGTTTAGGGTTTTAGGTTTAGGGCTTAGGGTCAGTGAAGAGCCATAGAACCTTTCGACAACTGTAGGCAAGATAAAGGTGGCATGAGCACCCAGCCGCGAAAGCCGAAAGCCCGAAAAACACTCCAACCGTCGGCATTTGCCAAGTCTGTTTCGGGCTTAGGGCACCTAGGCGCTTCATCGTAGTGCCGGACCTAGGTCCCTAATTTTCTTCTTCCAGTATACTGACTATAAATCAAGGTACCCAGAACAAGAAGTACAATTATATGCCCACTTCTCTAAACTACGGCCCCTTTAGGGGTTGCGTAATGTTTAGGGTACACAAAGAGGGATCATAAATTTGAGAAATATGACTCATAGTAAGGCCCCCAAAAAAGGCACCCGGAATATCGTACGTAAACCCCCACATATGACCATGTTGGTCCATGTACAGCATCACTCTAGGGTTTCTGCCCTGGACGCTTAAGGTCGTTTTGTTTGGGTGTTGGGGTTCTTTTATTACGGATCCCTAAGGGAATATAAGGGCCAGAGTATTTAGGGCAACCTTTAGGTGGACAACCTTATAGGGGTACGAGTCTTCATCCCTGGATAGTATCGCTGGCCGACAGCGCCAGACACTTAACAACCTCTGCCTTCAGGTCGTGACGCGCGAAGATCTCCACAACATCTGCTCTTGGCCTTAGTCCCTAAGTTGAGGGTTTAGGGTATATACCTGGGCCTGAAAGCTACTATATCGGAGGCCCCTCTACGGCCGTAGAATATACTATGTAGGTACCTGGAAACTTCGGGAATGGCTCGGAAACACACAAGGGAGAGCTTCTCAGGATTTAGGGTTGGGATGTTCCCCTTTGTACCAACAGTCCTTAATGAGGATTATAGTACCCTCTACTATAATCCGATTAAGGACCCTAAACCCTAAACCCTAAACCCTAAACCCTAAACCCTGTTAGTATAAGGGGGAACATCCCAAGTTTAGGGCTCAGGGGCTTTAAGTGCTGTCTGAAAAGTAGGAGTTGTTCATATTCGTCAGCGTACTGACACCGACCTGAAAGGGTTTAGGGTTTAGGGTTTAGGGTTAGGGTTTAGGGTTTAGGGTTTAGGGTTTAGGGTTTAGGGTTTAGGGCTAGTCTGGTTTAGGGTTGAGGGTCTAGGGCTTAGGAATCCTGCCTTGTCGCTGCAAATCCTCAGAGACGCAATGCAGCACTCACCAAGCCTACGTCGCCCCTCTTGAGGGAGCCTTGGGGTTTGGGGTTCGGGATTGGGGGAACGCAATAAGGATGCCCCGTTTTTTTGAGAGGTTGGCTACTTCTAGAGGGGATCCTACAGCCCCTTAAAAAAAGGCTGAATTCTTGGGGGAAGTGTGCACCTTGTTTGTGGTACAAAGATACCGAAACCCTAAACCCGAAACCCTAAAGCCTGGATAGATTTAAGCTTAAGGGTTTAGCCCTAAACCCTAAACCCCAAACCCTAAACCCTAAAACCCTTGGCCCTTCTGGGTCTCCGGGCATGGCATCCTCCGCCGGGTTCTCGAGCATGGCAATCACTGCTGGCTCAGAGGGCTCCTCCGTGAGGAGACGGCATGCTAGGGTTTAGGGTTTGGGGTTTAGGGTTTAGGGTTGAGGGTTTAGGGTTTAGGGTTCAGGGTTGAGGGTTGAAGGTTGAGGGTGTAGGGTTTAGGGTCTGGAGTGTGGAGATATTCTGAATAAGGGTCCTTTTTGGTAGAGGAAGCCGTATGAATCATGAAATTCTTACGGATGCCCTGACTGAAAACAAGCTGACCCCTCATATAATGCAGGCTCCTCTGCTGGCGTTGCCGCCGAGCCTTCCAAGGAGTTCTCCCTTTTTTGATTCCGGGGGTCTCAGGTCGGCAATGCAAAGCAAATTCTAACCCTCAAACCCTACACCCTCCTAAACCCTAAACCCTAAAGCCCAAACCATTTTTTTCCATATGGGCTGGGTGGGGAATGCCAGAAAAAGCAGCTGCTTGCACAGCCTGATAAACCCTAAACCCTAAACCCTATACAGGTTTCAAGGTGGGCTTCTTCCCCGACTTCATCCATGGCGCTTGCTGCCACAATCCTTGTCATCATCTGTGGGCAATGTTCAGACTCTACTATCACTAGGGGGAAAGGCCGTGAAGAATAAAGAAATAAAACAAACAAAAACACATAAACAAAGAAACATACATGTACATGTATACATATATATATATATATATGTATGATATTTTTTTGCTTTTAATACATTGCTCTCTCTCTCTCTCGCAAGCTCGCCCTCAACCATAAATCCCTGGAACTCCGCACCTGAGCTGCTGCTGGCTCCTTGATCCGAGGGCCTCAAGAGCACCAGGAAGGAACAGGGTTTAGGGGTTTAGGGTTTAGGGGTTTAGGGGTTTAGGGGTTTAGGGGTTTAGGGGTTTAGGGGTTTAGGGGTTTAGGTGTTTAGGGTTTAAGGGTTTAGGGGTTTAGGGTTTAGGGGTTTAGGGGTTTCGGGGTTTAGAGTTTAGGGTTGACTTGGAAGCGCCTCGCAACCACACTGCTGCATTTAGGGTTTGGGGCTTGAGGTTTAGGAGTTGGGGTGTGGGGTGAAGAGTGGGGGCATTTAGGACACCTTAGACTGGGGCGAGGTTTAGGGGATAAGGATTTAGGGTGATAAGGTCGGGGGCTTTCTCGGGGCGTCTAAGCTTAAGTGTATGGCTTTTGTCGTTCAGGTGAAGGGCTCCTAACAAGGTGTGTCGTCATTTTTTATGGCGTTTTGGTGCTTTTAGGTTCAACCCTCAAGTCTAGGGCTTCATTAGGATTCTCTGAACCCGAAGACCCTAAACCCTAACACCCTAAACCCTCAAACCCTTAGCTCTCAACACTCAAACCCCAAGAAAGCCTAAACCTTCAAATCTAAACCCTCAAACGCAGGCACACCTATAAAACCCTAAACGCCCTAAAGCCCTCAACCCTAAACCCTAAAGGCCTGTGAGGCCTAAGACCCTAAACTCTAAACCCTGAAACCCGAAACCCTAAATCCCTAAAACCCTCAAGGTCTTTATTTTTGAACCCTAAACGCTAAACCCTCAAACCCTAAATCCCTTGGGCTGTGAGTTTGAAGCCGGGGCTCCTAAACCCTAAACCCTAAACCCTAAACCCTAAACCCTAAACCCTAAACCCTAAACCCTAAACCCTAAACCCCGCGGCTTGTCAAAAAAAAACCGCCGAGGCCCCAGACGAGGGCGCAGGGGAGGCCTTGGCAACGCAAGCTGAGCAGGAATCCCCTTTGGGGCATTCGGGTAAAAACCCTAAAAACCAAAACTCTTTTGCAACAAGGACCCTAAACCCTCAACCCCAAGCCCAAAGCCTAAACCCTAAATCCTAAACCCTGCATGTCATCTTCGCCTTCTCGCCCTCGGGAGCAGCCGGACCGGCCGGCGGTGCCTCTAACTAGGGTTTAGGGTTTAGGGTTTAGGTTTTAGGGTTTAGGGTTTAGGGTTTAAGGTTCAGGGTTTAGGGTTTAAGTAACTCGCGGACTCCAAACTTCGTCGGTGAAAGGCTGTTGCGGTTTGGGGAGTTCAGGGCACGTTCATAGGGCTTCGGGCACGCATATATATATATATATACACATACATTTGTTATGAATAGGTAAACAGAAAACACAAATACGTATGTGTATGTATGTATGTAGGTATGTAAGTATTATGTGTGCATGTATATATGGGGCTTTTCGGGCACATGAACAACAGAGACGCAGGCCGGCGCCCTGAGTTTAGGGTTTAGGGTTTAGGGTCCAGGGTTTAGGGATCCTTGGAGACGGAAATGCACCCTGGAATTGGGGCCATACAAGGAGGGGCCTACTATACTAACTATAGTGAAGGGACTTCTAACCCAAGATAGAAGACTCATAACCCAGTCTTAGTTGCTGAGTTCATAAGCCCCCGAAAAAGTGTACCAAAAGTGTAAAGTGTGCTCACTCAGCTACCAAGCAATTCAGGATCCTCTGTAAGTCTACTTCTATCTAGGGCGGCCACTTCTTGTATACCCTGTACACCTATAATCCCTATGAAGGTATATGAACTATGAGCCCGTTGAGGGCTACAGGCTCGAAGATAGCCCCTTTTTTCAAGTGCAAAGTTCAAGATCGATGATTCCAAAAGCTTGATTCAAGCTTGATCTTCACTTCCCGTGGTCTTGAGGCCAACTCCCTCCGACAGAGACCACGGCGCTGGCATGTTGCAGGAGGGCTCTGAGCGCGTGCAGCATTCAGCGCGCTTCGGGCATGGCCTGTTCCGGCATTCAGATTGATCGGGCTGTGCATTCGGAACATGCGGAATCGTCCCGGCACTGGGGGAATCTTCTTCAGCATGTCGGCCGGAGGGGGGGGAGGAGGGGGCTCGTCACCGGTGTTAGTCGTGTTAAGTGAGGAGATCTAAGGAGCCGCTGCAGGAGGTCAGTTCCGAGGAGGTGATCCACTGTGGCCATGAAAGAACCGAAGAGTGAGGTTGCGTCATCTGCAAGAGCCGCAGCCGCCAGGGCTATGACGTTGAAGATGACCGCGAGAGAATGGATAGAAAGATCTCAGCCAGGATGGCATTGGGAGTCCAGGAGTACCTCAAGCAAGATGGACCCTTTCAACTGAGCTTTGCTCAGGTTCAAGAATACTCTGTTAGAATCAGGCCCCACAATCCAACACCCTAAAACTCAAACCTTCTAAACCCTAATCCATTCCCACCCTAAACCCTAAACCCTAAACCCTAAATCCCTGCACGCAGGAACAGGCGGACCCCAGCCATTCGGCAGCCCCAACAGCAGCCCAACAGCATGCAAAGGCACCGGGGGTCAAGGAGCCGTGCCAGGTTCAAGGTGGCATCCTCCGGGTTTAGGGTTTAGGGTTTAGGGTTTAGGGTTCCAAAGCATTCCGGTAGTCGCCACAGAGAATCTACTGAAACTTGTGAAATTTACTGTACCACAGCAGCAGATTTCGCACAAGAGTCCTGCATTCGCAGCCAAAGACCCTCATCGATGGCAGCCAGAATGACCTGTAGGGCATATAATCAGGAGTGGGGCCCTGTGCGCTCCAGCAAAAGCTTCGTGTCTTGGGACGTTCACCCTTCTACTAACAGTCCTAAATAGGGATTATAGTACTCCCTATTCAGGACTGCTAGTAGCAGGGGACACATCCCAGTCCGTGTCTAACCCTAAACCCTAAACCCTAACAAGTCAAGGGGCATCCAACGAAGGCACCAGGTCAGGATGTAGCAGGATGGTTGGAAACCCTCGACCGTCCTGCAGCGGAGGGCTTGCAAGCATGCAGTGCAGTGCCAAGAGCTAGAGAAAATACATATGCAGATACACATACACAGATAGATATAAGTAAAATGACAGTAACTATGCATATATATATATATGTATCCAATGGAGATGACGTGACATAGGCAAGAACATCTTGCACGCACATGTGGCGGGGACAAGAGGCAAGGTCGCGCTCTAATGGTACGGGGTAAGCCCCGACCGTGAGCCTGCGGCCCTAGAATGGACCGCACTAGGCCATGTCCTTTGCTAGGGCTTGCGGGTTAGGGTTTCGGGTGAGAATTAGTTCCCTTATGAATCCCGAAAAGTCACGATCCATTCCGTCGGGAACATCTATATATATATATATATATATACATATGTATGTATACATACATACATAGAAGTATATATCTATATATATATATATGTTTTATATTTATAACATATGAGCGAGTCGTGCATGTGGTATTACAACGCGCACGGGGTAGAGCTGAAAGATTGCAAGAGCTTTGGGGTGTCTTGATGTTGCAGAGTTTGCTAGGTGTGCTGATCTTCCCCCTTACACTAACAACCCTTAATAGGGATTATAATTGAGGGGTACTATAATCCCTATTAAGGACTGTAAGCCCTAAACCCTAAACCTTAAACCCTAAACCCTAAAAGGGTTTAGTATAAGTGGGAACATCCCAACTCGTAATTTCCAAGAGGAGGCTCGATGGCGCTCTGCCAGTCGAGCAATCGGTGGAGTGGCGGGTGCCAAGACAGCGACACCACCACTGGCACGCATCCTTCATGGGCAGGGTTTGGGGTTTGGGGTTTGGGGTTTAGGGTTTAGGGTTTAGGGTTTAGGATCTCAGGAAGGTTTGCAGAGATCCGTGCTGCTTACAACCTTCAACTTTAACCCTAAACCCTAAGCCCTGATGTTTGTTTCGCGATTACTTTAGTTTCCCAGCATCGCAGATTTCAAGCCCGATTATCCAGTAATTAGCTCTTGGCATGCATTCAAAAAGCTTGCACAACCTCCCCTAAACCCTAAACCCTAAACCCTAAACCCCTCGGTTAAAGTTGCGGCTCCGTGCTGAAGGACGTCGAGGTAGCGGATCGTCCACGGATAGTGGCCATCCAAGACCAGACCTACGGTTTAGGGTTTAGGGTTTAGGGTTTAGGGTTTAGGGTTTAGGGTTTAGGGTTTAGGGACCCCAGAAGCCCTACAGGGTTTAGAGTTTAGGGCTCTAGCCCTAGGAGGTTGTGGGGAGATGGGGGGGGGCGAGGGGGGCGGGAGGGGGTTGGCGATGGGCGAGCAAGTCTACAAGGAGGGCCCTCGCCTGGTTAGAAGTACAGGTATCACGGGCCCTAAGTTGGGTTGTAAGTCTTCTGACTTAGGTTATATGACAAGTCCCCTGAGATTGCACAAAAGCATGACCCTAAACCCTAAACCCTAAACCCTAAACCCTAAACCCTAAAAGGGGCCCTTACTGGTCGGGTCTGCGGCTTCAGGGCCTTGTATCTGGCAGGAGGCAGTAGCGGCTCTTCTGGAGGATCTCCGAGTAGAGGCCCTCGGTGTAGACCGTCGGGATCACCTCCAAAGCAAGTTGCTCTTTTGGTATGCGAAATATGCCAACACCAGCTACTTGAATTTCATGAGGAATGACAACATATAACATACATTTACCAGAAACACGGATATACATATATATATATATGCATTCATATATACATATGTATGCATATGCATGTATGTGTAAAGAACCGAGTGACTACCTGAGGACTTCGACCTTGAGATTGTCGACTTACAAGGAAAGCTTACCCCTTGAAGTGGATGCTACGTACGAACCCCAAAAAAACCCTAAACCCTCAACTTACTTCCTAGTGGGACATTCTGGAGTTCGCTTCCTCGGGTTCCTGCCAGGATTATATAAGTGGCTTTGAGCTACTGGGGGCCCGAATATTTCCGTACCAGCACTTGGTAGGTAGCCCAGGGACCAGCTATACTCCCCTTAGAACCTTACTAAAAAAAAGAATGCCTAATCTACTCTTGGGTTTTCTACAAGCAAAAATAGAAAATAAGTCCCAAGGGGGATATCGCCAGATGTTCGTCAGGGCCTCAGGGTGCCCTTTGTTGGGGGTTGGCTACGTTTACAGGGGAACCAGGAACCCCAACAGAGCAAAAGGGTACGCTAAACCCTGAACCCTGAACCCTGGACCCTGGACCCTGGACCCTGGACCCTGAACCCTAAACCCTAAACCCTAAACCCTAAACCCTAAACCCTAAACCCTGAACCCTAAACCCTAAACCCTAAACCCTAAACCCTAAACTGCCAAGAGCAGCCAGCAAGGCCAAAAGAAATCGTATGCGAGGCGGCCTTGATCCTGGAGCCCTCCCTGCCCTGCCAACGCTCCAGCAGATCTTGCCTGTTTCCGAGGTTGGGCTTACCCTTTAAGGCTTATTAAGGGGTTTAGGGTTTAGGGTTTAGGGCTTAGGGTTTAGGGCTTAGGGTTTAGGGTTCAGGGTTGGGGTTTAGGTTTATCCAGGTTCATTTCAGGGTTTAGAGGGCTTAGGTTCTGGTGTGGGCTTGAGGCACTCGAAAGCAGGAGTTTGTGAACTGACTGCGCTTCAGCTTCGTCTAGACATTGGTAAGGCAGCAAGGGGACTAATCTCGCCGGGTCATGTTCCACCCTAAACCCTAAACCCTAAACAGCCTCTGACTGATGCGGAAGCTTCGACTGGCAGGTGCCAGAGAAAGCTTTGACATTTATACGGTGGAGGGTTTAGGGTTTAGGGTTTAGGGTTTCGGGTTTCCCCTTAAATCCTTGCAGTCTTAGAATCCAGGCTCGGAGCGCCGGCCAGAAAAAATGCCCAAGAATGGAGAACCCCGAAAGTTTGAACCCTAAACGCTGCACCCCAAACCCCTAGTTTAGGGTTTAGGGTTTAGGTTTAGGGTTTAGCGTTTAGGGAGACATGTGGCCCACGCTGGCGTAACGTCCGCGATGTGCTTGTCAACGCCCCCAAGGCTCGTCTGAGCTCCCTGGAAGCCCCCAACTGTATCCCCTGTACAGTAAACCCGAAACCGTTTAGGGTTTAGGGTTTAGGGTTTAGGGTTTAGGGTTTAGGGTTTAGGGTTTAGGGTTTAGGGTTTAGGGTTTAGGGTTTAGGGTTTAGGGTTTAGGGTCTGGGGTTTAGGGTTTAGGGTTTAGGGTTTAGGGTTTAGGGTTTAGGGTTTAGGGTTTGGGGTTTGGGGTTTAGGGAAACCTAAGCTCTTGCCTGAACCTGTACTGAGGCCGATGCCATGATGGTAGAAACTAAGCCGTAACAGCCTCGCCCTCTCCAACCCTACTTGGAGGACGGCACTTACTGTGTTTGTGTTAATCATACTTAGGCAAAACTATATATGGCCCATTCTTAGGAATTATATGAATCATACTTAGGCAAAACTATATATGGCCCATTTTTAGGAATTATATTATAAGTGGGCTTACAACCCCCGCTCTTGAGCAGGTAGCAAGTCCTACGGGACCCCCAGAGCCCTAACCACAACACCCTATAAACCTGAATCCTAAACCCATCTAATCCTGATAGAGCCCTATAAGCCCTTAAAACCCCTGTATACCCCTGTATACCCTCAAATCCTGAACCCCCTTTTCCTCCCCTAAACCCTAAAGCCTAAACCCTCAACCCCCCCCCCCCCCCCGACCCCCTTACGGGACAGGCGCCTGGAGCAGTGCGTCGGGGACCCGACAAAGGAAGCGAGCCACGAGCGACCGTGAGGTCCCCGCCTTGGGTGCTAACATGGTTTTATAGGGTTTAGGGTTTAATCGCTCACACTCGGACAAGCCAGGCGAGGCACACACTGTCCCAGAATCCTGATACTAGCCCTCCCGGCTCATATGGCCAAGGTCGACAAGGTGATACCAGCATATCCAGCTAGCCAATTCGGTGACACTACTTGATTGGTGATACGACTCAGTACGTCTCCACGATGCCATGTTCGCGCTTCAGAAGTCATTACGGGCAGGGGAGGAATGACGGTGCAACCTAGCAACCAGAGGGTTTAGGGTTTAGGGTTTAGGGTTTAGGGTTTAGGGTTTAGGGTTTAGGGTTTAGGGACGAAGGAGTGGGTTTAGGGGGTTTACGTTATGGTCTGAGGGGGGAGCGCATAGGGTTTGGGGTTTACTCTGAGAGCGGTACTGGCGGGCGGAGCTGTAGACTCTAGAAGAAGGGGCCCCCCCAGTTGTAAGTAGAGATATAAGGACCATAGGGGTCCTGTCTTAGGTTATAAGTCTAGTAAGGGGGGCCCCTCCTTGTGGGAGCAAGCCTGACGGAGCCTCTATGGCTCTAGAACTCCAACCATGGCTAGATTGCTTTTTCTGCCATAGCCGACTGCGTGCCGCACTTCCGGGAATCGGAACGCCAACCAAGCCCACCCCCCAACAACCCCACATCACAGAATGCGACCCCAGACTCTGCAAGAATGCCACCCATCTCTCTATAACGCACAGATTGCGAGGACATGCAACTCTCTAAGCCCTAAACCCTAAACCCAAACCCTTAATCTACACCTCCCAGTGCTTCTTGCCACGTGGCCAGTGCTTCTTCGAATCGTAGGAGCAAGGGTACTGGATTGTGACATCCTTTTCTAGGGTTCTTAAGGGAGGGGGGTTCCAGGGGGGTATGTAACCTACGGTTCCCCACAGCTCCTTAAGGCTCCCTAAGATTCCCTAGGTACCTACCCCCCATGAACCCCCCTCCCCCCCCTTTAAGGACCCCATAATCCTTCACTCAAACCGCCGGAGTTGATCTGCAGCCTTCGTTGCATGTCTACAAGGAGGGGCTGCCTTGCAACTATAGCTGAGGGACTTATAACCTAAGAGAGGATCCTTATAACCCAATCCAGGGTCCTCATAACTCTACTTATAACTAGGGGGAGGGGGGACCCCTTCTTGTAGGGAGCGCAGAATGGTTTCGACTTCAGGCATTGCGGCTGGAGATGGGCTACACTATCCGCCAGGGAAGGGTTGAAGGTCTCGTCTTAGGCTACACTCAGGAGGGCAGCTATAAATTAAACTTTTAGCTGCCTTATTAAGAAACCCAATAAACCCAAAAAGGGTAAGGATCTAAAGTTACGGTAAAGTACCACAAAGTCGTCGTAGGCTACCTTCTCAAGCCGCCGTCCGAGGCTTAAACCGAAGCTTCTGCGCTGAGATGGAAGTTTGTGCATGTGGGTCTCCCATGGCTTCGTGTTCGGGAGGGGCTTGGGATTCAGGGTTTCGAGCCCATTTGGGTGTAAGGGTTCCTGGGTTGCCGGATGTGCTTTCTGCAAGCAAGCGGCATTCTTCCAAATGTCGGGGTAGTAGTAATACCTTGGACCAGATAGGGGTGGGCTGCAATAACATAGGCTCGCCCTTCATGCCCTTTCTAGTAGGATCCCTCTACCCTCGCCTGGGACTGTAACCTCGGCCTAGCTTACCGAATACCTTGCACCGTGTGTAAAAAGTAAAACCATAAACCCTAAAGCCGGCAGGTTTTGAAAAAACAAAATCTGGGGCCCCGTCTTGCCAGAAGAAGAAGAATAATAATAAGAAGAAGAAGCCGTAACTTGCAGAGGACGGGGGGGGGGAAAATAACAACCACCTAAATCTTCAACGATGTTGTAGGGCTTGATTGCGTTTTCGGCCTCTAGGGCCTAGGGTTTAGTCGCACCAAGTACCCCGAAAACGCCTTAAGCACCACACCCCACCTCCAAAAACCAAAACTCAAAACCCCAAACCCCAAACACCAACCTGGAAAACTCCGGACGAAGATCTGGGCCAAGGCCAAGGCGCATTCTTCCCAGCGCCCGACTCTCCTTGGGGTAGCCCGCACCTCTTGGTCTACAGGGTCCAGGGCTCAGGGTTAACGGGGTTGAGTGGTAGGGTTGAGGGTAGGGCCAGTTTAGGGTTCATAGGGCTTAGGGCTTACTTAGGGTTAGCTCAAGATTTGGGGGCCCGGCACTTAACCTACTTCTAACGCATACCCCATCGAAACAGAAGCGCTGAAAGGCTCAAAGCGCGCCAGTCTTGCAAATTCTAAACCGCCTGCCTATAAACACCCTACTCCTCCTACTCCTCCTACTCCTACTACTCCTACTAGTTGTTGTAGTAGTAGTAGTAGTAGTAGTAGTAGTAGTAGTAGTAGTAGTAGTACTACTACTACTACTACTACTACGAACCACCTCCACCAGTACCAGCACCCTCTTTTCTTATCAATGATATTCTTAGATTGTCACCATCATTCTTCTCAGTTCCTGTTTGAAGGCACCCAGTTTTAGTTTGCTGGACACACTGGGGCATGGCACCGCAGTGGGAGGTCGGGCCCCTCCTTGAGACATTCAGCTCCTGGGCTGCTGTCGGATGGATTGAAGGGTTTAGGGCTTACAGGGTTCTCAGGGCTTCTAGGGTGTTTTGGGTTTACAGGGTTTAGAGTGTTTGTAGGGTCGATAAGGTTTTTGGGGTTTATGGGGACTGTTTGGCCCATAGGGTTCAGGATGATTGAGGAGCTGCTACTCCGCTAAGTTGAGCCCTGAAGGCGAGACGCTTTTGGGCAGATTCTAGGCTGCTGTTGCATGTTCACACACAAGACAGAAACAACCATCTGCCGGTATTTGTGGACCAAGACATGTAGGATGAGCGGCCGACCTGACCCCTGAATCCGAAACCGTCGGGCCTGAGGGATGTTGTCATGGTAGAATAACCCTAAACCCTAAACCCTAAACCCTAGATAAACCCTAAACCCTGTAAACCCTAAACCGGCCTAAACCCCAAATCACAACAACCCCAACTCTCTCACATCCAGCAGCGCGAGCGATGCCCAAGGTGAAGTGGAAGGCCTGGATAATCAGGAGAAAAGACTAGAGAGGCAGAGTGAGATCGGACAAGTACAGATAACACCAACAAAGAAGGTGGTTTAGGGTTTAGGGTTTAGAGCAATGACAGTTAGCCCGGCTAGCCCGCTTGTCGCCACAGGTGAACTCAACGCTCGATCGGCTGAGCAGCACGCAAAGACTCTTGTCACTTGTCCTGTTTATTCTGGACAGTGCGACGATTTGAAACCCTAAGCCTAAACCCTAACTAGGATGGCCCTTGAAACCCCAAAATATTCCTAAATAGGATCCTCTTAAGCCCAATACGGAAAAATAACCCAATGTCCCAAAAGCCTACCTAGCTAAGTATCTGAAACCCTAAACCCTAAACCCTAAACCCTAAACCCTAAACCCTAAACCCTAAACCCTACGAGGCCCTTTGGCTGCACTGGCGAGGTTCGAAGTTCGATGTCAGCCACTCCGACGACCCAGCGTAGGTCACAAGGGTCCTCAAGAGGTCTACAAGGAGGGGCCCCCCTACAAGGAGGGTTTAGGGTTTAGGGTTTAGGGCTTCGGGGGCACCCTTACCAAACTAGCTATAGTTCAGGGACTTATAACCTAAGGTAGGATCCTTATAACTTATAACCTATAATTTAAGGGTCCTTATATGTCTACTTATCAGGGGGGGGGGGGGGGGGGGGGGGCCCTCCTTGTAGGGTGTACTGACAGGTCGAACAGTGCTTATGGCGGAGAAACACAGCATTCTCAGCACCAGGTCCTAAAGCCTTATAAGCCCTAAGCTCTAGACCTTGCGCCCTAAGCCCTCCAACCCAAACCCTAAACCCAAAGCCAAAGTGTAGCCACGGGGCGCTTTCCGAGCGTGTTGGCCCTGAAGAGCAGGGTGGAACAGCCGTCCCGAGCCACTGGTCCTTCAGGTCTTTAGGCAAGCTTGGACCCGGTAAGGCTTTCAACAACTGTAATTGTGCACCTACTCATAATTTATAACCCCAGAGATAGAACCCCAAGCGTGAGCCAAGGCACAAGACAACGAGAGAGGACTCATTGGGCCACTTTGCCACCCAGCCTAGGCATCAGCACCCTTTTTTAACACGGACCTCTGAAGCCTGTCCGGAGTCCCCTCAAACCCACCACCCACTGAGGCCCGCACCGCAGAACGCCCGTGCTTCACACAAAGCGCTCAAGCTCAGAGTATGTATCTTTGATACAATCTGAATGCGGGGGATGTGTTGGTGAACTTTCAATGATGCACCCTAAACCCTAAACCCTAAACCCTAAACCCTAAACCCTAAACCCTAAACCCTAAACCCTAAACCCTAAACCCTAAACCCTATCGCCCTTGCGATTACAAGCTTCGGTCTAGTAGGCCCTTTTGTAGGTTTCGGCCCAAGGGGGTCCCAAAAACCTAAATCCCGTCAGGGTTTCATAAACCCCATACAGGCCATGTCTTCCTAAGCTGTCAGCCGCACCCTGACACCCGACAGAGTGGGGCTTCGGCAAGCAGCCTCTGCAACAGCCTGCTTCATGCAAGTGCAACCAGCCAGGCCAATCCCCCTGAAAACCCTAAACCCTAAACTAAACCCTAAACCCTAAACCCTAAACCCTAAACCCTAAACCCTAAACCCTAAACCTAAACCCTGGCCCCTTTTGCCTAAATCCTAAATTCCGAGCCCGTCACGCTTCAGAGGTCTGCCCATCATCTGGACCAGTCCTTGTGATCGCTCATGCAAGGCATGGGTGGGAGGTAGCCTTCTCTTGCAGTTTAGGGTTTAGGGTTAATTGGGGTTTAGGGTTTAGGGTTTAGGGTTTAGGGTTAGACTGAACAACCTCCACGCCAGCCCACGCTTTTAGCGTCAGGGAATGTGGTTCGGGGTTGGGCAGGAAGGTAGTCGCTTTTGCATGTGGCACAGGTGCGTCTCCACCTGCTCAAACCAGGGCGCTTAGGGTATCAGCGCTTCGGGAGGAATACAAAAAAGACCTCCCCAAACAAGCCACAGCATAGCTTGCGCAATTGATCGAAGGGAGGCTGCATGGTACACTAAACCCTAAACCCTAAACCCTAAGCCCTAAACCCTAAACCCTAAACCTTTTCTATGGTCCCTTACCCGCTTTAAAGGGCTCTGAAGTGTGGGCCCTTGGGTTTTCTAGGGTATACAAGGGGTATACAAAGGTTCCCCAAATTCAGGGCCGATGTGAGAGGGGCCATGTATATAGCTACCCTACCATAGGGGCCTTCATAAGCAGAATAGGTTACTTTACTTTTCACTTTTTTTGGGGGGGATTATCGAAAAGTATATCAAAATTAATAAGGCAAAAAAAGCTATTCGTAATTCTTCCGACCCCCACAATTAAGCAACGGCGTGCTCTGCCGCGGAGGGTCCATCATAGTCGGTCTTCATCCGGCCTTCGCGGATCAAGGCCAAGGAGACCTCGAGGTCATAGCCGAGGCAGTTCCTCGACATCCCATTTATTCCTCCTTTGTTTTTTTTTTTTTTGGGGGGGGGGGGGGGGGGGGGGGGGGGGGGGGGACGAGTGGGTGGGTGGGTGGGGGGGGGATTAGGGTTTAAGGTTTAGGTGGTGTTTTTTCCGCCACCCGCAAAATCCTTTTGGAGCCCAGACTCTTGTCCCAAACTCTAAGCCTAAGCCGTGAACCCTCAACCCTACCCTTAAGCCCTACATCCCTAAACCAAATCCTAACGCTTTCTCTGGGGATCCCTACAGTAAGCCCTAGAGAACCCCAAAGCGCTGCCAGCGTGCAGCGCCGTCAGCATATGCCCCAGAGGGCGGCACCTGAGTCGGGTGGAGGGGATTTAGGGCATGAGGGTTTAGGGACAAGGGTTACCCTAAACCCTAAACCCTAAACCCTAAACCCTAAACCCTAAACCCTAAACCCTAAACCCTAAACCCTAAACCCTGAGGGTTCGGGGATAGAAGAGGTTGGGTGCTTATGGGAATTTCCAAGGGTGTCAGGCTTTGGCTCTACGGGACTTAGGGAGTGAGGGGGTTTTGAAGGCTTTTTTCAGAGCCAGGCCTTGGGAAGGCAAACTTTTCCAGGGTTTAGGGTTTAGGGTTTAGGGTTTAGGGTTTAGGGTTTAGGGTTTAGGGTTTAGGGTTGGGATTCTAGAGTTTAGAGTTGTTGTGGGGGAGTGCCCGTTTAGGGGAGGGTGAGGAGTGGATGAAGGCAGGCAGATTAAGACATACGTGGAAATTGGGTGGGGAAGGTGAAGGCCATATAATGTGAACGTTCTAACTGCTGTAGGACCAAGGACAGCATCTCACTCTCCGCATGCAAAAGGTGCACGAAGCTGGAACAACCCAGGATCTAACAGGGGCATGGTGCTTCTTCAGGCGTGCGCGTCGCACGGCGCTGATCTTCCGCCAAACCTGACTCGCATCGGACTCTTGCTGGGAGATCAACGAATGGGAACTGCAGGCTAGGTAAGGTATTGGACCTAAACGCTAAACCCCATCTTGGTGTTGAGACCAGCGGCATGTGGATAGAACACGCCGGCAAAGTCTTTGTAGCCAGTGCGATTAACACCTTTAGCAGCCAGCAGCTGATTTGGAGAGTCCGCAGCTCAGCTACAGGGTTTAGGGTTTAGGGTTTAGGGTTTAGGGTTTAGGGTTTAGGGTTTAGGGTTTAGGGTTTAGGGTTTAGGGTTTAGGGTTTAGGGTTTAGGGTTTAGGGTTTAGGGGCAAAGTCTTATTGCGCTGTCCTCTGGGCAGTTCTTTAAGCTAGGGTCCCTTCTGGAGGGTCCTATGATAAGGTACCGCATGATATAGGCGACCCCAAGTAGGGAACCCCTATATGACAGGATGAAAGCCTTGCTTGAAGTCCTTTCCTCGGAAGGCTGAGAGTGGTTCTGTGGCCTGGCTTAAACAAGTACTTTCTGGCGGGTTTAGGGTTTAGGGTTTAGGGTTTAGGGCTTAGGGTTTAGGCTTTAGGGTTTAGGGAGCAGGCTAGCTTCGCGACTTTCTCTCTACTTGACTGGATGGGATTGCAAAGGCAGACTCCGGAGGGAGAAGAGCTGAAGGTTTCTTGGGTCTACTACCAATTGCTTACGAACCCCCCCCCCCCCCCCACCCAAACAAAATCACAACAGATTAAAAATAAGAAATAAATAAAACATCTTCCTTACAATAAGGGCAATACAGGGACTAAATTTATTTTGGGGGGCGTTGCGAGTCAGCAAGCGCAGGGGCCACTTGCCGACACGATCTCGGGACATCATAACGGATAGTCGTATACCCATATACCTAGAATAACCTTTCTACCGTTATGAAAGGGTTATGTACTTTAAGTATGGGAAAATATGAATTACAACTTCAGGCGCAAATTTACCCTAGGTAGATCCGTGAAGATAAAGCCTCGATATCCCTGCCTATAAGCCCTAAACCCAAAACCCTAAGCCCTACAAGGAGGGCCCCCTTACTATACTAACTATAGCTCAGGGACATATAACCCAAGATAGGATCCTTTTAACCGAACTTCGGGTCCTTATAACTCTACTTATAACTACGGGGCCCTTTCCCGAAAACCCTACATCCTCTAGCCGAGGGCACATCTCTCGATGGACAGCGGCCGCAAGTACGAATTCGCTCGGCCAGCGAGGATCTTTGGCGGGAAGCCTCTAGTGCGAAAGAGCAAAGTGATATTGATGTGGGTCTCCATCTTCCGTATGCACACTTTGGGGTTACCCAAAACACGGCTCCGTATGATAACAGAGGAATACCCAAAAAAGGAACCGACATTTAGAGGCTGACCTCAAGAATCACACTTGGGCGATAAGCAGCATACGCAGTGGAACTTCGGACATAAATCCCTCAACTAGATCCGATTACAGTACGGAGGCTGCTCCTACAAACCCGAAATTCTAAGGAACCCTGACCGCGGCCTGAATTCGCACACTTAAGTTTCGCATCCTCCTCGCGCAAGGCTCCATTCCGCTTTTTAAGTCGTGGTGGACATTGCTTCGAGTCTTGCGTGGTTGGGAAGTGATGTGCTGAAAACACCTAACCACTACTTCACACTAAGCTACCCCTGAACCTCCGAATCAGGGAGCTTGAAGCCGGGAAAACTGGCGGACACGACTGCAATTGGTGGGGCTGCCCGTGCCTGGGGGTACAGGGAGCGGCCCCTTGAGTGTACTAACTAACCGTAGCTAAGGGATGTCCAACGGCGGTAAGTCGTGATACTTACAAACCAAATTCAAAAATAAATCCAATTTGTAACCGTAACCCAAACCGTAAACCCTGTGCAAATATTTTTCCTCTGTCTCCCTCTCTGTCTCCCTCTCTCTCATTTTTTCTCTCTCTCTCTCTCTCTCTGTCTCTCTTTCTCTCTCTCGCTCTCGCTCTCTCTCTCTCGCTCTCGCTCTCTCTCTCTCGCTCTCGCTCTCTCTCTCTCTCTCTCTCTCTCTCTCTCTCTCTCTCTCTCTCTTCGTCATAGCAGCATTCGATGGCAGCTTGGATGGCTCCCACCGCCGAAGGGTTGAAGATGGTAGGCATCGAGCGGACCATGTTCCTCAGAGCACGCGCAAGTTGCCCAGCGACCCAAGCTTGGCTACCCTAAACCCTAAGACCCTAAGACCCTAAGACCCTAAGACCCTAAGACCCTAAACCCTAAACCCTAAAAGAAACGGTCTAGGCTTCATGGTGTAGGCTTTAGGGATGAACCATCTTCTCTTAGACTTTAGGGAACTCTGAGCTTGAAGTATGGGCTCAGCTCTGCACCAAGAGACATACCTAAAGTGACGCGGCACCTAAACAAAGGTACTAGTGATTTTCCCAATAAGCAAGGTACACTACCCGTTTTTTGCAAGATCACAAGGGCTACTCCAGGTACAGCTGGGTGTCTGCTGCCGCTCTGGGGAATTTTGTTGGTTTGTCCCAGGACCCTCGGGATTTGGACTTTCGGTTTAGGGTATGTTCTCAGTATCCCCCGACTAAATCCTCAAACATGTCACCACATCCTAGATGCCATCGAAGAACCCTAAACCCTGAACGCCCTAAACCCTAAACCCTAAGCCCTAAACCCTAAACCCTCAACCCTAAACCCTCAGCCCTCAGCCCTCAGCCCTCAACCCTAAACCCTGAACCCTGAACCCTAAACCCTAAACCCTAAAGCCTAAACCCTAAACCCTAAACCCTAAACCCTAAACCCTAAACCCTAAACCCTAAACCCTAAACCCTAAACCCTAAACCCTAAACCCTAAACCCTAGGCAGGCCAGCGTCCGAAAGTTGGAGGTGGCATTGAAGAAGCCCTGAAGGGCGCTACGCCGTAGCCGGGTTCAGGTCTGCGGGGATGTCCTAAACCCTGAAACCCTCAAGCCCTTTTACATCCAGGGTTTAGGGTTTAGGGTTTAGGGTTTAGGGTTTAGGGTTTAGGGTTTGGGGTTTGGGGTTTGGGGTTTGGGGTTTGGGGTTTGGGGTTTAGCGACCTAAACCCTGAACCCGAATGAAACCCTAAACTCCCAAACTCCCTGAAGGTTCCTTGAAGATGATCCGATCCTTGGCTCGGACTACCACCTTAGATGACACCATTCATAACCGTAGACGTAGGTGCCCCAAAACAGGAGCTGCAATTGGGGGTCTATATGCCTGGCTTCGTCTCGAAAAGGCCTGGCAGAAATCTCCGGACTAGTCTCTGGGTTGAACTATGAGCAAGCATGCGTCTGTACAACAACACCCGTAGCATAATCCCCCCTCATCCCAAGCCTTGCCCACCAGGGAGGTGTCGCATGGATCCATGACGTCCACCGCCATGGCTGCGACAGGGCGCCAGCCCACACAACATCCGCCGGTTCTCCCAGTTTCTTCGGCCCAAAAAAAGACAACGACCTTTGCTGAGTTGAGGTTAGACTTGTTGAGTTTTTGGGCTGCCCTACACCCTACTAAACGCTACGGTAAACCCTAAACCCTCAATTGCTTAGGGAGGTCTTCAAGAGGGGCGATTGGCTCCGATTGACAATGGACACCTCCTCTTGGCAGTAGCAAAAAAAGCGGCTGCGGCAGACTCGGGAACTCAAAACTTAGGGTTTAGGGTTTGGGCGGTACAGGGTTCAGGGGTTTCTCAAAGGGTTCATGTAGCTGTACAGTATAGACTCGGGCCGTAAAGAAGGAGTGTTACGTAGCAGTTTTAGGGCCCGAGAATATACTGAACAGTTACCCTAAACCCAAAACCCAAAACCCTAAACCGCCTAAACCCTTTTGCAGTAAACCCTAAACCCTAAACCCTAAAAGTTACATGGGCCCTTAGAATTGAGGGGGGGGGACCTCCAACTACACACTCCCTAAACCTAAACCCAAAATTATAAACCCTGTTTGCATGCGGACTTCACCCCTAAAACCCCAAATACCCGAAAACACAAACCCTAGATTCCCTAAATTCCATGAGGGAATATTCCTAAATCGCATAAAGAAATTCCCTAATTTCCCTAAACAACTCCTTCAGTACCCTAAGTACCCCTAACCCCTAACCCCTAACCCTAAACCCTAAACACTAAACCCTCAACCCCCTCATCCGTCGGGGCCGCCTGGACATGCGCCACGGTGCGCGCCAGGCGGCGCTGCGCCAGGGACTGGGGCCTCGGTCCGCAAGCTCCGGCGCCTTTTTTGGGGATTGCCGGGTTTAGGGTTTAGGGTTTATTGGGGTTTAGGGTTTGGGGTTTAGGGTTCAGGGTTTACGGTTTCGGGTTTAGGGCTTGGGGTTTAGGGTTGAGGGTGTAGGGTTGAGTTTTTAGGGTTTAGGGTTAGGAGGAGTTCGGGCTTTGGCCGCAGATACGACATGGAATAGAGCATGATGCAACGAAGCATGGTGGTCAATGCCAGAACCCAATTTAAGGCCCGTAGAGCCCTAAACCCCAAACCCCAAACCATAAACTCTAAACCCTAAACCCCAAACCCCACTTCTAACTCGGAGGCCACTCAGTGCGACACCTTTACTTCCCAGACCCCTGGTAGGATCCAAAAAGTAGATCCCCTAGGGTTTAATTAGGGTTTAGGGTTTAGGCTTCCCAAGAATCACCCAATAGTAGTACCCTAAGGGTCTAAGGACTCTTATGTTAGGATTTTTGGGCCCAAAGGCCTTCTTATGTAAGGTTTGTGGGCTATTTTTGAGCCTAAGGGGTGTGGGGGTACTATTTGGGGGTTCTACTTTTTGGGATCCTCCCAGGGGTCTGGGTTGTTCAGTCCCCCCAAGGCAGACTCGGGAACACACTTTGGCATGGCGCCGGGGTGGGAAGTTGAGCCTACTCTTCACAAGAAGGGGCCCCTCCCCATGTTACAAGTAGAGTTGTAAGGACCCTAAACGAGTTCATGGTTGGGATAGTATTAAAAACTTAAAATTATGTTCCGTATTGGGTTTAAGTACCCTTACACATGTAAAATGTTACCCAACTATGACAAAGTAAATTGGTTTATAAGTCATAAGGATCCGATCTTAGGTTAGAAGTCCCTGAGCTATACCTACTACAGAAGGGGGCCCCTCCTTCTAGCAGCATCGATTGAGATTTTTGTTGTTGGGTTTCAGCTGGAACGGTGAGTCTGCCAGGCTTTTTGGGCGGGTCAGGGCTGTTCAGAGTTGCAGGCTCGCGGGTACACGTGCGAGGGGTCATGGCTAGTGTGGGGCACCGTCTGGGTGCCTTGAGACACGGGAGGTAGGGTTTAGGGTTCCAGGGTTTAGGGACCCTAAACCCTAAAACCCTAAACCCTAAACCCTAAAACCCTAAAACCCTAAAACCCTAAACCCCTAAACCCTAAACCCTAAACCGTTTAGGGTTGAGCGTGGGGACTTATGGATGGAGCTCTCATTGGTACCATCGGCTCTGTTTGCTGTGTGGGCCTTGTTCTATTTCCATAGCTGGCTCGCACTCTTGCAAGCTTGAGCCATAGGCCAGGGTGAGACCCTTCCCCAATTTAAGCCATAAGCCAAAAAAACACCCTGCTTTCAGTCTTCAGGCTTTGGTTCAGATTCAGAGTTCTAATGCCTACGTAAATACTTATCCCGGGCTGTGAGAAGAAGCACGTGCCAGCGACACTCATCAAAAGCACCGCCCTTAACCAAGATTGTTTGGGGTCTTGGCGTTTGCGGTCTCCCTGTACAAGCAAGTGCCCCTTTAATATACTAATTTACTTGAGGGACCGATCTAAATGGTACTTCTTATAACCGCCCCCAAATCTAGGGCCCGTGGAACTCGACTTCTAAAACTAAACCCTTACACCCTCAAACCATCCTTGTAGGAGTAACCCTAAACCCTAAACCCTAAACCCTAAACCCTAAACTTAGGAACTGGGCCCTGACTCGCCACCTCATAGGCGAGCTCACGATGCCGCCCAGGATGGGAAAAGAGGGCTCCTCCGCGACCACCTCTTTTTTTAGGGGCAGGGCTTAGGGTTTAGGGTTTAGGGTTTAGGGTTTGGGGTTTCGGGTTTAGGTTTCAGGTTTAAGGTTCAGGGGTTAGAGGCTCATACAGGGAGGCCCCCCCCCCCCCCCCCTCAGTTGTAAGTAGGGTCATACAGGCCCTAAATTGGGTTATCAGTTGTGCAACTTACGCTACATGTCCCTTCAAAACAGCCATTACTTGTAGCGTTAGCGGGCTTCGAGTAGTCTTGGGCTGGCATACTCTGAATTGTGGACCCAGGCAAACTCGTGCATTGTTGAGGGTTTAGGGTTTAGGGTTTTTTGCCACCCGCCTAGGGTTTAGGGTTTAGGGTTTAGGGTTTAGGGTTTAGGGTTTAGGGTTTAGGGTTTAGGGTTTAGGGTTTAGGGTTTAGGGTTTAGGGTGCCCGCAAGCGAGCTGCCAACCCACGCTTGAAACCATTCTCTTCTACCAGCACCATCCAGCAACTCCACTGAAGGTCGAAAGACTTCGAGGAAAAATCCACCATATGCCAGAATCTCGTATAGTGGGAGTATTAAGGCTATGGGGGGTGGGAGTCTTTAATAGTACGGCGGGGGCATCTTCGCATGAAGCTGGAAATAGAGCAAGCAGCCTGCAGGATGAGTCCTCAACCCTGTACACCCTTCGCCCAACGAAACCCTACCAAAACCCCTAATTTTAACCCAAACTGAAATCCAGAAGGAGCCCCGTCCGTAGTTCTAAGCAGCATTAAGCAGCGCTATCTTAGGTCATAAGTCCTTGATCAACCACAAATAGTATTGTAAGGGGGCCTCTCACTTCAGTCTCCGAGCACGCTGCATCGTTGGAACGGCGCCGCGGTGATTGGCTCGGTGCTTAGTTGCGGTGGCAGGCAGAAGGGGCCCTAAGCGCATTTAGCGCTTATAAGGCTCAGGGATTCCTACCTGTGCTGCGGTAGAGGGAGGTCTGGGAAGCTTCCAATTTCCGCAACTACCTATCGCACAGGGGACGTCTGGTAAAGAGCTCCAATGGCTTGTAGGGGTAATGGCGCGGCTGTATAGGACGGGCCTCTAGCCTGAACCCTAAGCCCTAACTGCCCTAACTTTCTTTTTTTGGGCATAAGAGCAGCCTTTTTTGCATTCGTCGTGCCGTCGGCATCTTGCGACAAGCAACTAAAGATTGACCATACTAGCATCTGCCAGTAAAGCTGCAAAGGCACCAAAGCTGGGCTGACAGGTCGGCATCTAGGATCAGTGTAACCCGCTCCACCTGACATCTAAACACCACCACAAAAGACTCGATTGATTGCAAGTCCTTATAGAATTGTGTTGTTAGGTTTTGCAACCCTTACGCCTAAGGTCCTTATAGAATTGTGTTGTTAGGTTTTGCAACCCTTCGACTTCTACATCAGGCGGCAACCTATTGACGATCCAAAACCGTCACCCGCATCATTCAACACTGCAGAAACTGTCAATGACCATTGCAAGTCTAAAACCTCCCCATGGTCGCCAGCCCGTCCTGACATACGCAGGATCGCACCTTTGGGGACTAAGCACTCCGTCTGTTTCCTGCAGAGCGCGCGTGCGGAGATTCTTCCGTACTCCACAAGAAGCTGGCTACTGGGTGGGTTTGAGGTCTGGCCTGGGGATTTGGGGTTGGGGTGGCCGATGGTGAACAAGCAAGGGCCCCATTCTTCCACTGCCATTAACTATATTTAAGGGACTTCTAACCCAAGTTACAGCACTTATAACCCAATTTAGGGCCCTTATACCTCTACGTCTAGCTAGGGGGCCCCTCCTCGCATGTGCTTGGCAAAAGAGTTGCGGCACTGCCTTGCCAAGAGCTGGATTTCAACGAAGAGGTGCCCAGCAGTTGGGCAAAGGGCCTAAGGCGGTGGTGGGAGGGGTGGGTCGCCCGTCACCCTAAACCCTAACTAGGTTCTTCTGATCATTGATGTTAGGGGTTCTAGAGGGGCTTAAGGGCTTAGTGTTTACCTGAAGGGCTTAGAACACAAGGCTCATCTGGCCTGAACTATTGGGTTTTCCGGGTTAGGGTTTAGGGTTTTCGGGGTGTGGTTCAGGTTTCAATTTACTGGTGAAGGTGTGGTGCAAACCCTCTCAAGGCCACAGTGCTACGTGCGACAAACCCTCTTGGGTCTCGATGCGTGACACGCGCTGGCCACGGCTGGATGAAGCGAATTAGCTGCAGGAGCATATGACAGATGAGGCATGAGAGCAAACGCATATACTGGTATATCACCATTCGCCAAAAAGTAAGTGTGCACGTCGTCCTCTCTCTACATTGGTGCGATGCGCACGGCCGAAACAAAAAAGTGCTAAGGTCTGGTTGTCCTTAAGAGGAGATGTTGGGTCTGTGCGGCCGTGCTTTTGGGCACCCCTGGGGAAAAGCATGCTCGGAGTGCAATGCGGGCTCCTTGGCTGCGCAAATTTGTACTCGCCCCAGGCGCCACATGCATCGCCAGATCTGAACTTCATGCGCACGGTTTAGGGTTTAGGGTTTAGGGTTTAGGGTTTAGGGTTTCGGGCATTTCTAAACCCAACAGTAACCGAGGAAGGAAAAGGGTGCCCCCTTTTTGGTTGAAAGGGGCTTGTAAGGGAGCCTATAGGCCCCCAAGAAAAGGGAAGAGCCTAAAGCATGCAACTTAGTTGTTGAGTTCATCAGCCCCAAAAAACTGAACACTTTCAGTTCTATTAGGGGATCATCGTATCCCAAAAGTGTAAAGTGTGCTCACTCAGCTACTCAGGCAACGAGAACGAATCGGAGCGATGCTTGTGGGTTCACGTGTTCGAGCACGCATCAACTCCGCTAAGGTGATTCTCCAAGCTTGAGTGCCCCGTTTTCTCAGACTCATCTCCCAAAAAGCCCCTAAAGCCTAAACCCTGTCCTCACTATAGTTAAGAGACGTATAACCTAAGATAGGCTCCGCTAGAACCCATTTTAGGGTTCCTCTAACTCTACTTATGCCAAGGGGGCCTCTCTCACGTGCCCCTAAACCCTAAACCCCAAACCCTAAACCCTATAAACCCCGGGCATGAGAATCACCGGGCTTCATCACGGAGGAAGACGGCGAAGCGCCGCTTCAGTCCAATGCAGCTGCGGTTTAGGGTTTAGGGAAGGGAATATAAGTGCCAAACTAGGAGTATTATAAGGGAACCTTCAAACTTAATGCAACTAACGATCATGGCAATGCCAAGCTGCTCTCTTGGTTTAGGGCTTCAGGGTTACCACCCTTAACTTGACCCTAAACCCTATAGATCCTCAACCCAGGCGGAGCTTTCACCGCCATGGGCTTTCCCATCTAAGTTGGCTGCTCAATGCTCGAAGGAAGGGTGGGCTTAAGGAGGGGGCAACCCTGTTGAATTCGCACACACGCGCATTACATGATATTATGTTATTTTGTATTATACTATATTATATGTAAATATTACGTATAATCTATATATATATATACAAATATATACAAATATATATATATATATATATATATTATACATATATATATGTATATTATACATATATATATATATTATAAATGTATGCTTTTTTGCACGCGCAAGCTTGACATACCCTTTAGGGCTTTTGCATAGTGCTCCCATCTTGCGTCGTACCCTTCTGTAAGAGCCAGTAAGACTCGAGCAAACCTTGTCTCCCCTATCATGGGACCCTTCGGCGCTTCGCGAAAACGTGGGCTTCTGCGGTTGGGCGCCGCCTCGGACATCAAGTCTGCTTCTGAACTTCGTGAAGCGGATCCCACAGACTGCACACAAAAAAGACACATTGCAGCATTCGGTGGGAATGGCATGTTTATGTTGGTGTAGTACAAGAAAGTACCGTGTAGCACAGCATACGTGTTAACACATTGTGGTCATGAGTAGCTGTTTTGCAAAGACCAGCTGTCTCGACAAAGAACTGAAACCACCACGAGAACCGAAGCAAAGTGTGAAGGTATCACGATAAGAAAAAGCGGCTCAGGTATATCATACTACGTATTACAAGAGGCTCCACTAAACCCTATAAGACCCTACATACTGCACTGAACTGAAATGGCAAGTAAGCAGCTGGGCGCAAAGGCTACGCTCATCCGCCACCTTTGTCACCTTGGGCAAGGGGATCCCCTTCGCCAACCCCGTTACCTTAAACATTGAACACCGTTTTGGGGTTGATTATAATAATTGTAGTATATGTACAATTAGATGGGGACCATAAGGGTCTACTATTAGTATTGTGTCCACAGTGAATATGTACAATGCTCGCGGTTTGTTTTGAGCAAAGACTGAGATGCTTGAGGGCCTCAAGGATTCGACTCTCACTGCATGCCATGGTCGGTGCAGGAGAGGACTACGGGCAACGTCCGAACTTAGGGAAGACCTTCTTTGCTGCAGGTTGCCTGAAGACCTTGTCAAGGGCAGCATCAAAACTACACAAAAGAAGGTTCGGGACTCCTAAAAACAGCCGCAATGGCGGAACCACAGCTCTTCCCCACCTGTGCTGCCTCGCTTGGGCGAGCATTCGTCGAAGTTCCTGCGGCGCTTCACAAAACCATAGCCGACACTTGGGATGCTCCCCCTTGTACTAGCAGTCCTTGATGGGGATTATAGTACCCCTACTAGAATTCCGATTAAGGACTGAGTATAAGGGGGAACATTTTGTTAACCATGAACCCTCAACCACCACAGACTGGCGAGATCACAAAAGTAGAGCACACCGAGCGCACAAGTGAGCTCACGGCGGGTAACAGCGAGCCAAAGATCATCTTTCAATTTAGGTGGATCTTAGGGTTTAGGGTTTAGGGTTGAGGGTTTAGGGTTTAGGGTGAAAGACAATAACGGCCCATGCAGGGGGGGTACGGCCCGTACAACTTCAAACTTCTGTTCCACATCAGCATGAGTCGCCTCACTGCACCAAGCAGGAATGATACGGGTATTCGCCACCCCGAAAACCCAGATGGAGTATAACCCCAGCTAACTGCATCAGTCCATGATAACCCCAGCTAACTGCAGCAATCCATGAACCTCCCAGTCGAACCGGCAAGGGGTCAGAATACTCAAACTATGATCATAACTACAACAATCCGAATAACAAGTAAAATACATTAGTACTTAAACTCACAATAGTTGCAGTAGCAGGTACAAGCAAACAAATAGCAAACAAGAATACATTAGTAAAATACAAAAATAATAGGCATATTTGTAAACAAGCAATAAACAGAGAATAAAGATAACAAAAACACAAGTAGGTTAAACAAAATAATGCGCAAAGAACAACAGGAACCATCGTACTGAGATTGGCGGGGGAGTCCTCGACCTCGACCGGAGGGGAGTTCTCGGCGATGCGCCTCCGGCCTCCCAAAAAAGCGGAGGAGGTGTTTGGGGTTTGGGGTTTAGGGTTTAGGGTTAGGGTTGTTTCAACTGAGGTCTTCCTTGTTTCTCCAAGAACCTAGGACAAAAGCAAAGTGTTACGCTTGACCTTTTGCCGAGAGATAAGGATACCCCAAAAGCTTAAAGTTCAACTATTTGTAGGGGTTTCACTTGGGGGCGCGGCCTAGGCCACAAACAGGGTTTGGGGATGTTGCTGGTTGATGTGGCCTGGCAGCCTGTGCAGCCCGTAGCGTCAGGGTTTGGCAAAGTTCGCGGCTTAGGGCTTAGGCAACAGAATTTAGAGGGTCCTCAGACCCTTCAGACGTCTTCGGAAGCAGAAGGGTGGGGAGTGAATCTCTCTTCCTGTCTTTCCTGTTCTTGTGCTGAGATGGTGGGAAGCTACATGCTGCCGCGGCACCCCCTCTGAACCCGATAGCCTCGAAAGTTAAACCCTTAGAGCCAGGGCCATGTTCGGGTAGTTCATCTCTCTTGCAGGAGCCTCCATCCCTTTGTTGAACCACGCACCCGGCTGCCTAAACCCTGAATCCTATTTTGCATTCTTGTTTAGGGCTTAGGGTCCCTAAACCAGAAAGTACTAAACCATCTTTAACCCAGGACTGCTGAGGCTCCGGCCTGAGATGCAAAGAAGAAAGCAACATGCACGAACTTAAACCCTAAACCCTAAACCCTAAACCCTAAACCACATGAATCCTCAACCTGCCTTCGGAGTGTTCAGCTCCATGGACTGCGAGCGGCCCTTCCTTTCATGCACGTTTACGGAGCCACTCCGTGCAGTTGAGGTGGGTTAGGGTTTAGGGTTTAGGGTTTAGGGTTTGGGGTTTGGGGTTTGGGGTTTGGGGTTTGGGGTTTGGGGTTTGGGGTTTGGGGTTTGGGGTTTGGGGTTTGGGGTTTGGGGTTTGGGGTCTGTGGTTTCGGGTTTAGGGTTTAGGTTTACTAGGATGGCCCTTAAAAGCCTCTGAAGAACTCTCCTGACCCGGATCCTCTCACACCCAAGAATGGCAAATATACAATGTCCCAAAGGGTCTACCGAGTTTAGTTTTTGTTCTGCTACCTGCCTTGCAGCCTCACAAACACACTGCAAGGATGCAATGAGTCCATCACCAGTCTGCTATCCTAAGGGTCCCTGTACCTAAGTAGGGAGTACTTGGGCCTTAAAAGTACTTCCTGAGGAAGGATCTTCGGGCCCAAGTATTCTATCCTAGGAGAAGTGATAAAGAGGGAAGTGACGCGCTTTTCATGACGAACCGACCACCAATGAACCGAGGCAATTCGATCATGCCCCCCCCGAGATTTTGTGTGCCAAATGTTTTCATTCCTGAAGTTTGGGGTCTGGGGCTTGGGGTCTGCACTGGTCTTGATACCGCGCCTGCGGTTTAGGGTTTAGGGTTTAGGGTTTAGGGTTTAGGGTTTAGGGTTTAGGGTTTAGGGTTTAGGGTTTAGAGTTTAGGGTTTAGGGTTTAGACCCAGCATTCCGCAGGCCTCTCATTTGCTGAGGAAGAAGGCCTTTGGGTGTGTATTGCGGGTCTGAGTGGACAGACACGTTCGCGAGTTAGAAATGGCAATGCGCTCGCCCAGGTACAACATCTACAGCAGCGAACTGCTTCGTAGCTCTTCTCGGACCCTAAACCCTAAACCCTAAACCCTAAACCCCAGTGATAACCCCAGGCAGCAGAAAAAGGACTTCTTCAGGGCATCACTTGGCAGTACTGCTGACATTGCTCGAATTTCTCAGAGAAACGCCGCGGGGCATGCGGCTGCTTGGGATGCGTGCCCTGTTTAGGGTTTAGGGTTAAAGTTTAGGGTTGCCTTACTTACCCCATGTCTGCCAAGCTGCTCCATCATGTCCATAAACTCTTCGAAGTCAATCGATCCATCACCGTTCTTGTCAATCTCTTGCAGCAGATCCTTGAAACGAGAATGGTGGTGTTTCTTTATCAGTTGTCCAACATCCCCGTAGCCGCACCATCCACACCCGTAGCCACGACTTGCTCATCAAACCTTTCCGCACAAGGCACAAGCCACATGGACACAACAAAGACCATCAGAGAGTCCGGAAAAGCCCTTACTGCAGGAATGCACCTTAAAGTATACCGGGGTTCTGAGTGCCCTAGCCCTAAACCCTAAACCCAAAATCCTGAACCCTAGACCTAAACCCTAAACCTAACCGCAAAGCAGCGCGCGCCTCGGAGGTCCTGCCGTCGAGCCTCCCCCAGCGGGAAGGGTAACGTTTCTTGTAGGGTTTATAGGGTTTAGGGATTGTTCGTGCGGGCGTTATCTCGTTCCAACCCGGTTTTGAAGCGACACGCACACTCGAAATGAGAATGCGAAGATTGCAATGCTAACACCATGACTCCTCAACCACCACTTGGATTTAAAACATCAAGATTACGCATAAGAAGATGGCATGTCAAACCCTCACCCTCTGGAGACTCAAATACCAAGTCTGTGACTCCCAAACGACGAGGACTTAACAACTCTAGAAAGAAGGCTTCGAGGTATCTAAACCATCACCCTCCCTCGGTGGGTACTCCAGGAGGGGGTACTATACCTACACACCCTCTGAATATTTAATCTCAGGAATCTTAAACATGATGATGCCATCTCATTGGGGCATTTTCAGGACTCAGCCTTGCGTTGCAGTCTAAACCCTAAACCCTAAACCCTAAACCCTAAACCCTCAACCCTAAACCCTAAACCCTAAACCCTAAGCCCACGGGATGAACCCTGTGGTTGCCAAAAAGACTTGCAGGTTTGGGGGGGACGGGGCTTGGGGTTTACCAGGAGGGGCCCCCCTTACCATACTAACTATAGTTGAGGGACTTCTAACTTAAGATAGGATCCTCTTAGCCCAATGAAGGGTCCTTCTAAGTATGCTTTTAACGAGGGGGGGCCCTTTTGACCCCGCGAGCTCTGCCGGGTTCCCTAAACCCTAAACTGTAAACCCTAAACCCTTAACCTCGTTCGAAGCCCCAGATGCTCGAGCAGAAACCTGACACGCTAATATAGGGGCCTTAATCATTAGAACAGGTCTTTTTGGGGGGGTTCTTAGTTCTTAAGAGGTTTAGGGTTTAGGGTTTAGGTATATATATATATATATAGGAGCCTTAATCATCAGAACAGGGCTTTGTGGGGCTTATTCTCGTATAAATATAAAGGGACCCGAGGGTTAGTAATGGTTCCGACCCCTACACTTCCGCTGCATCGCCGAGCGGCACGTCCTCCATGCTGCCATCCTCCAAAATTTGCTTCAGCTCATCAACGGTGATGAGGCCGTTGCCATCCTGGTCGAAGACCTGGGCGTTGGCAGGCCACGGGCTACGGGCTTGCAAGATGCTAATGTACTTAATAGTTGATATTGCAGAATTTGAAAAAATGTTGAGAATGCAAGTAATACTAAAGCTATATTCACCTGAAGGATGTGGATAATGCAAGTACTACAGTTTACGAAACTGCTCTCATGAGCTCACAGGATCAGAGGCCCGCAAGGGAACTCGAGATCACCCTCATGAAGCAGCAATGTTTCATGGGGCTCCGCCTTGGTGCCCTAAGGTTGTACCCTTGGTTTGGGGACCCTTCTTTAAGATCCTCCTTAGCGAATAGAAGGCCCAGATTAGAAGTATAGTAAGGGAACGGTACATCCTTACAAGTACGGGCCCCCCCCCCCCTAGTTATAAGTAGAGTTCTAAGGGTCTTAAATTGGGTTATAAGGATCCTGACTTAGGTTATAATTAAGTCCCTTAGCTATAGTCAGTATAGTAAGGGGGCCCCCTCCTGGACCGCTACCCTTGACAGTTGCTCCCCTTGGCTCAGCTCCTGGCCCGACAGGTCGCCCCGGCTAGCGCCCAAAACCCTACATGGGTAGTTCCCAAATTAGGGTCCCTTTTTGGGGGATACCTTTTTAAAGGGTGCCGCCTTATCATGGGTACCGGGACACTAATTTAGGAAACTACCCCACATGTATCCCTCCCTAAACCCTAAACCCAGTCTAGTCGACCTTCAGCCCAAGTCCCCCCGAAGACCCTTCTTGCAACCCTAAACCCTAAACCCTAAACCCTAAACCCTAAACCCTAAACCCTAAACCCTAAACCCTAAACCCTAAACCCTAAACCCTAACCCCCCCCCCCCCCCCCCCAAACCCAGAAACCCTCAAAACCAAGGCAGGTTGCGCTGAAGGCCGCCCAGCATGCGTCGCGCTGCAGGTACAGCCTCTTGTCGAGCGTGGCCGCCAGGAACTCCTGGGGGCTTCAGGGTGAGGGTTTAGGGTTTAGGGTTTAGGGTTTAGGGTTTGGGGTTTGGGGTTTGGGGTTTGGGGTTTCGGGTTTCGGGTTTCGGGTTTCGGGTTTCGGGTTTAGGGGGGGGGGGGGGGGGGTTCCCATAACAAGGATTGTTTTGGGGTCTACTAGGGGTACCGCTATTTTTGGACCACTTCTTGCAAGCTTTCAGCTTGCATCAGCACATCGCAGCATCACCCGCCGATCAACTCGGGCGAGGATGCGATCTCTTGAGGCAGCTGCCGGTTTAAGGTTTAGGGTTTAGGGTTTAGGGTTTAGGGTTTAGGGTTTCGGGTATGAACGTCTATTATGCTTCCAGCCTACGGCCGTCATCCCTATGACCATTGTCTTTGTCACTTTGAACACGATCATTGCGGCAAATGCTGCTATTGTTGCGGTCGTTATAGTTATTCATCTAGCTATTCATATTGTTATTGTTCCTACATCCCTAATTAAACCCCAAACCCTAAACCCTAACTACTTCAGAAATTCAATGCCAAGCTGCAGTGTAGTCAATCTGCCCACTGCCGTCCGCGTCCACGCCTGCGGCTCTATAGCGCCCCGCTCTCTCACTTGCGGAGCTGCTGCCACCTGTGTAATATAGGTGCCTTACTACCTTACTGATTAGAACAGCAGGGTTTTGGGGGTTTATTATAGTACACTCATAAAAGGACCAAAAGGGAATGTTATTCGTAGTTATTCCGACCTCTATAGTAGCTTTTTTGGCTGTGGGTTTGGGCCTCCCCTTCCAAACGAGATTACTGGCACCTCTGGCATAAAACATCCACCCCCAAAACCCTATGCACCCAAAATCTCTGTTGTGAACCCTCTCTCTCTCTCTCTCTCTCGCAGACTCGGGAATCCGTCAGCTGCCGTCTGCAGCCCGACAGGCAATGCTCTCTGGGCAACGCCCCACCGCCCATGTTAAGCAGTGCAATCCAACCCTAAAAACCACGAAATCCTAAACCCCTAACCTCAGGTGCGAATGATGCCGTCGTTCGACCCTGCCTTCCATGATGGCTGCGAGGTCAATATCCTGCCGGCCATGATGGCAAGATCTTGCACTGAGGCCTTCCTCTTGAGGAGTGGGTTCAGGGTCCCTAAACCCTAAACCCTAAACCCTAAACCCTAAACCCTAAACCCTAAACCCTAAACCCTAAACCCTAAGGGTCCATGTACCTAATCGTTATATACTTGGGCCCCAAGTTCCCTGCATCTTCAGCCCTACAACCCCTGACAAACCCCATGGGTTTAGGGTTTAGGGTTTAGGGTTTAGGGTTTAGGGTTTAGGGTTTAGGGTTTAGGGTTTAGGGTTTAGGGTTTAGGGTAAGCCCCCAAAACCCTCCAAGCCCTATAAGCCCTAACACGCCCATAAACCCTACATGAGCTCTAATCACACCAAAACACCCTTTAGTACCAACAAAAACACAGATGAGTCCTAAAACCACTATATTAACCCTACAAACCCTAGACCCCAAAGGCCCCTAAGAGCACAAACAACCCTAAACCCTCAACCTTAAACCCCCTCAACCCTCAACCCTCAACGCTAAACCCAGACCCTAAACCCTAAACCCTAAACCCTAAACCCGAAACCCCAAGAACCCTCTGGGTCTTTGGGGGATTTGCAGAGGTCCTCGTGCTTCACCCTTGCAGGCCTAAACACCCTAAAAGCCCTGAGCCCTAACACCCCCCCAGAAACCTAAATTCCTAAATGCACCCTAAACCCTTTTGCTACTGGGCTGAAGGTCTAGCCAGTCTCCAGACCTCAATCTTCTTGACCGAGGCTGACATGCAAAAGCCCTGATGCTTGCATCCAGGCTTAAGCCGCTTGTAAGAACTATACTGTAGCACCCTAAACCCTAAACCCTAAGCCCTAAAAGGCTCTAAAAGGCCCCCCCTGGAGGCTTCGCAGGGGTCCTTGTGCTTCAGGTCTGTCCTGGTGATGCCATCCTGTAGCTCCTCTCAGTGATAGGGACTAGGGTTTAGGGTTTAGGGTTTAGGGTTTAGGGTTTAGGGTTTAGGGTTTAGGGGCTGGACAGGGTTTGGGGGGGCTTGGGGTTTAGGGAGTTGAGGGTTTATAGGGCTACGGAGTTTGCAGGGTTAACAGGGTTTTCGCAAGGCATGTTATTTTTTGGGTTATGCAGGCTTGTAGTGTTTATAGCGCTAATAGGGTTTGTAGGGTTTGCAGGCGCTTATGAGGTTCATGGAGCTTCTGGGTTTTGTAGGGCTTTACAGGGGTTCATGAGGGTTTATAAGCTTAAGAGGGTGACAAGGGTCTCTAGTATAGGCTTTGTGGGGGCTTGTAGGATTTACATGGGGCTTAGAGCTTGGTTGCTCTTTAACCCCCCAATAAAAGTTTAACTTTTAGCTCTCTTCATATAATTTGAGAAACCCCAAAACTCATACAGTGCCAAAGTTGTAGCAAAGTCTCACCTAGACAGGGTTTAGGACTTTTGAACTAATGACTGTGGGATGGCTTGCACTGTCGCTGTGCAGACAAGACTTGCAAGGAGCACGTGTGTGGGTGCACGTGTGTACGGGAGATTTCGTCGGGAGTTAGGGTTTAGGGTTTGGGGTTTAGGGGTTAGGGCCAAGCAGTGCTGAACAGGAGCGTTGGCGGGATTAGGGGGTACCCTGGCCCTAGTAGACTTCTCTTCCAACACCGCCTTCCCCAGGTCCTCCAGTGTCAGGAAGCCATCGCCATTCTTGTCCAAGGCTTTAAAAACATCCCTCGCGCGGCCAGGGATGAAGAACTCTATATCGGGGCGTTGCACGTTCAAGCCCTGTCGAGCATAAGGTTTAGGGATTGGGGTTGGCTTGAGGGTGGTAATTCAGCTCCACGTTTTCGGGCTAGCATGACATACTGCACGTGAAAAAGAATAGCTAAATACGGTGTATGTGCACGTGCACGTGCACGTGCGCGTGCATGTGTGTCTCTGTCTGTCTGTCGGTCTGTCTGTTCCTCCGCGTGTCAGTCTGACTCTCTGTTCTTTCTGTCTGTCTGTCCGTCTGTCTGTCTGAGGGCGTGCGTATACGCATTCATGCAAGCATGTCTTATCCTGCTTCCCTCAAGCCCTGAACCTAGCAACCAGGCTTGTGTCCATGCCTGACTCCGCTGAATCATGGGACCCTATCCCACACTACCCACACCAGCCCCCCAAAACTTTCGGGCCTCAATAACCTACCCACACCGGCCCCTTAAAAAGTCAACCCTAAAGCCTAGACTTCAGGCCCGCATAAGCCTTACTTCAGCCTGTCTAGAGCCTTTGTTGTTGGGGTTTGGAACCACACCAAAAACCCTTGAGCTGACAGGCCTCAAGTCAGAGATCTGGGACTCGTTCATCTGTCCTGGTGTGGTTTTTCGGCTTCTGGTTTTAGGGGTTTAGAGGTTTAGGGTTTAGGATTCTGTGGAGTGGAGTAGCCTTGTTTCGGGTTGAGGGTTATAGGGGGGGGGGGGGGGGGGGGGGGGCTCCCTCCTTGGTCCATGCCAGGGGAGTCATATCAAGGCTGCCGGCTTTAGGGCTTGAAACCCTGTCCGGAAACCCTAAACCCTAAACCCTTTTGAACCACCCTAAGCCCCAAACCCTACTGTAAACCCTTAACCCTAACCCCAAACTCCTAAACCCTAAGCCCTAGATCCTGAATCCAACGCTCCAAAAACCAAAGCCCCGAACCCTAGACCCTGTGAACATCAACACGCACTTCAAGGGACTGGCCTTCTAAGCTTAGTAGTTTTTAGGGTTTAGGGTTTAGGGTGCTTCAAAGGGGGACCCCCTACATACCTCTCGCATACCCTACAAAACCCAAGGGCCCATACTTCAGAGCCCTTTCAAGGAGGCAAGGCACCATGACCCCAAAGTTGGGGGGGTTCATTTGGTCCCCAAGAGGCGGCGCCGTAAGAAACCACTCCGGGGGGAACTGCTCAGGGCAACTTTTTTGGGGTCCAAAGGTCCGGACCCTAAGCCTCTAGGGTTTAGGGTTAAGGGTAGACCCGATACCGCCCAACAAACCTGGCTAAACCAGCAAGCCGACAAAATAAGGATTTAGGTTTGGGGCTGCAGCACTAAAACCTTCTGAGGACCCGCCTCTCCCTTAAACCCCAAGAAGTCCCCCCCCCCCCCTCTCCACTCACTCCCTCGAAAGTCCTGCGATGATATTCAGGGCGGCCTTCTTCAGCCGGTTCTGTGACCTGCATAGGGTCAGGTCCAGGATTTCCGGGGATTCATTTTGGGGTTTACAAGGGTCAATCAAAGGTTGTTCGGTTGACAAGGGCCACAAGGGTTGTCCCTACAGCCCTAAACCCTAAACCCGAAACCCTACACCCTAAACCCTAAACCCTAAACCCTAAACCCTAAACCCTAAACCCTAAACCCTAAACCCCAACCCGGTGCCAGAAGGGTTGTAGGGCTGTCGACACCCGCAGTGGCGGACCGAGCCGGGGCTTCAAACTTCATTCATTACCCCAAAGGCCAGATACTGACCACAGTGTAACGTTTAGTTTAGGGTTTAGGGTTTAGGGTTTAGGGTTTAGGGTTTAGGGTTTAGGGTTTAGGGTTTAGGGTTTAGGGTTTAGGGTTTAGGGTTTAGGGTTTAGGGTTTAGGGTTTAGGGTTTAGGGTTTAGGGTTTGGGTTTAGGGTTTAGGGTTTATGGCTTAGGGTTTCTATTTTGAGGCTAGAAGGAACGTCCCCCACCCTAGAGTTATAGCGGTCCTAAGTTGGGTTGCCTGATACTCCAAGTTCCCCCGAACTACGGTTACTACAACAACCCTAAACCCAAAACCCTAAACCCTAAGCCCTCCTCGTGGCCACCTCGGACTCTCAGGCGACTCAGAAAGTAGCTCCCAATTCGGGTGGAGGAGTCGGAGAACCCCGATGAGGGTCCCCCTTTTGATGGGTTCTTGTAACCCTAAACCGCCTAAACCCTAAACCCTAAACCCTAAACCCTAAACCCTAAACCCTAAACCCTAAACCCTAAACCCTAAACCCCAGACCCGACCTACTCAGTCCCAGAAACCTCCACCCCAGGCCCTAAACACCAAGCCGTGCGGCCTGAAGCTGCGGAGGTTCGAGAGCTGATCACCTTGGTTAGGGTTTAGGGTTTAGGGTTTAGGGTTTAGGGTTTAGGGTTTAGAGTTTAGGGTTTAGGGTTTAGGAGTTTTGGGGTTTAGGGGTTCCGGGGTTTAGGGGTCCAGGGCTGATATGGTCCCTTCCCTTCTTTAGCTCCAAAGTATGGGTCCTTGAGTTTTATAGGGTATCTAAGGGGTATGTCAGGGGACATGTAACAACCCTAGAATATTGGAGCTTGGAAGACCTAAACTCCCCCAGCCCCTGGTTGAACCCAGGCTCGGACGAGCTTGCCTAAACCCTAAACCTTTACAGTGCAGCCGAGGCTTGAAGATATGAAAGGGCTTAGGGTTGAGGGTTGAGGGTTTAGGGTTACCGTAGGCAGGGGGGGTAATCCCCAAACCATCCTAAGCCCTGTACATCTAAACCCTAAACCCTTATATGGCCCTTACGTTCCCCTAGGGATCCTTAAAAAAATCGTCAACGGTTCCGTGTAAAGAGAGCCCTTCGTTAGCCTTCTAGCAAGCAAATCCTTTCCCACTTCTTTTACCAAACTACGCGCGCCAAAATTCCAAGGGTACAACCTTAAGGGTCCAAGGCAGAACCCCTAGATTCACTGCAGTGACCTCCTGGATACCCTAAGGGCGGTTTTGGGTTTAGGCTTTAGGGTTTTAGGGTTTAGTATCCATACCCTAAACCCCAAACCCGAAACCCTAAACCCTCAGCTTCAGTGCATCGTGCATCCACGTGGCCCTGCAGCGACACGTCGGCTGCTTGCGGCGCTCTTTGCACAATCCAGGGGTCTGCGAGCGCCTTGCCGGCACTAAGAGCCTTGACCTTCTTGGGACCCTAAACCCTAAACCCTAAACCCTACACCCTACACCCTAAACCCTATCTGTATATAACCCTAAACCCTGTGACAATATATAGTCCAAAGCTGCTAAATGGGAGCCCCTGCTTTAAGACCCAAGGATGTAATAAACATCGCGCCATACACTGGGCCCCTTAAGGCCACTAAACAGGAGCCCCCTCTTAAGGCCTGAGCATGGACCAAACACAGGTACCTTGGACTAGACCCACCCTAAACCCTAGACCCTAAACCCTAAACCCTAAACCCACCCTAAACCCTAAGGAGTAACCTAGGAATGACCCTTTTTAGTTTAAAAGGGCTTAGAAGGCAACCCAAACCCGAAACAATGGGGCTTCTCTGGGTCCTAGTGGCCCTAAACCCTAAACCCTAAACCCTAAACCCTAAACAATCAAAAAGGGGATTATAAGGGCCTTCCTGAAGTCCCCCTCAGCCTAAAAAGAAAACCCTAAACCCTAAACCCTAAACCCGCCGCCTGTTGGGCCGTGTATCTGAACTCTGGGTCGAGCTTGATGAGGTGAGAGATCAGTTTCTTGGCATCCTGGTTGGTTTAGGGTTTAGGGTTTAGGGTTCAGGGTTCAGGGTTCAGGGTTCAGGGTTCAGGGTTTGGGGTTTAGGGTGGCTGCGGGACTATAATAGGGCTTCTAGGGCAAGTCTACGTCAAAAGAGCTTGTAAGTAAAGCCCCCCCAAAAACCGGATTCTACAGACAGGGTTTTCCAGAATCCCCCTTTTGGGGGACCTGATGCCCCAATAGTAGGATCCTTCTGCTTGTGTGGCTTGTGGGCTCCTCATGTACTTAGTTGCTGAGTTCATAAGCCCCCAAAAAAGTGTACACTTTTCAGGTCTATAGGGGATTATAGTATCCCAAAAAGTGTAAAATGTGCTCATTCAGCTACTCAGCGTACAAACCGCCTGGCTCATCACATAGACTTGTAAGAATCTCTCCTGCAGACCTTGGGACATATCCAGGAATTATTTTTGTCATTTATTTGTCATTTTGTTGTCACTTGCTGCTGTCATTTTGATGCCATTTTTGTGTCATGTTTGTGTCATTTGTTTGTCATGTGTCAGTAGTATTATAGTATTATTATTGTAAGGGACCCCACAAAAGCGCGCCCAGGCAAAGCCCTCAGAAAGGGTTCATATGGGCCTTCCAAAGCCCTCATGATTGTGGTCCCAAATGCGGCCCAGTTAAGGGACCCACAAAACATGGGCCCAAACTAGCTGACGACAGGCCTCCTGGGGCCTTCAAGGGCCTCAGACACGGCCCACATGGGCCCCCAGAACCGACACTGCTGAGCCCTTGTATCTCTTCGCACGCGCGCTGCGACGACGACGATGATGAGGACGACGTACATTAGAATTGGAGAAAATAATTGAACAATGCCAGAAGAATGACAGACCAAATGGCAAAGGGGTCGCCAAATGACATAAAAATAACAGAGGGGTCGGGACATGACAGCAGAATGACTCCAAAACGACAGAAAAATGACTCCACAAATGACAGAAAAATGACAAACAAATGACTCCAAAATGACAAAAAAATGACTTCCCCCTGGGACGGCCGAGGGGACGGTGGGGAGGGTGGAAATTGAAGGAGGCCTCGAGCGGTTGTCGTTTTGGAGTCATTTTTCTGTCATTTTGGAGTCATTTTTCTGTCATTTTGGAGTCATTTTTCTGTCATTTTGGAGTTGTTTTTTCTGTCTTTTTGGAGTCATTTTTCTGTCATGTCCTGATCTGTCATTTTTTGTCATATGGCCCTCCACCGCCCCCCCCCCCCACCCACCCACCCCCCTTCCCGCCCTTCCCCACACGTTGCCATCCCCCAGATCCCCCCAGACTTCCTTCCTTGCTTACGTAAGGCTTACGCCTTTGTTGCAAGTTATCGTTTTATTCATTTCTGCAAATCACGACGCAGAAAGTGGTGACTCGTGCCACGCTTGATCTCACAGGATACCACATAAGTGGCCATCTTTGGCACTTATACCTCCTCCTACTACTACAACCACCACCACCACCACCAGCACCACCACCACCACCACCACCACCACCACCACCACCACCACCACCACCACCACCGACAACACAATGACAAGAAAATGACAACACAAGAATGATTCATGCAGAAAACGACATAGAAACGACAACAAAATGACAACAGCAGAATGACTCCAGAATGACTCCGAAATGACTGAAAAATGACAAAATATTTTTTTATGATTTCCAAGACCTACAGGGCCAAGATTCTTACAAACATAGACACGCGCAGGCAACAGTTCTACCGGTGCACAGGTGGCAAGCATCTCCCTTCCTGCCCGACCATATACAGGCAAGCGGCAAGATTGCACCCTAAACCCTAAACTCTGAACCCTGAACCCTGAACCCTAAACCCTAAACCCTAAACCCTGCACATGATGGACTCTCATGGCCAAAAAAACCATAACAGACTCTCTATCCTCCGAGCTTGAAAGCCCCGAGGGGTGCTTCTGAGTAGGGGGGGCTCCCCTGTTGGGTCTTTGCAGGGTTTAGGGTTTAGGGTTTAGGGTTTAGGGTTTGGGGTTTGGGGTTTGGGGTTTGGGGTTTGGGGTTTGGGGTTTGGGGTTTGGGGTTTAGGGTCCCTGTTCGGCAAACTGCCAACCCTGCCCATAGTCCTCCGACACATACTTCCAGTCTTTGGAATCAAAAGTGTAGAGGCCTTTTCTGACTTTGCTCAGGACCTGCCGAGTGCAAGGGCCCATGTTATCTAAACAGGGAATTTGTTGGGTCTTAAAGTACCTGCTAGATAAGGTAAATTTGGGGCCCAAGAATCACATAATTAGTTGCATGGACCCTTAGGGCGAGCTGAGGACGTGGAGCACCCTAAACCTAAACCCTTTTTGCAACTGGGACTTGGTGACTGCCAGAAAGGAACCCCCACTTCACACACCCGCAAACCCTAAACCCTAAACCCTAACCCTTGAACCCTAAACCCTAAACCCTAAGCCGTGTTCGCACGTGGAGGGCATGGGCACAGCTCGTGGGGGCCTCCTGATCTGTCTTGCCATAGAAAGGTGGATATCCACACAACCTCGGGGCAACGCCGGCAAAGAACCCTAAACCCTAAACCCTAAACATAGTCTGTGGCAGTGGCCAGTCTAGCTCCTGTTTAGGACGTGCAGCAGGGCCTGCAAAGTGAATGATTACGAACTGTGCGCTGCCTGACCACGCATGACGTGGCTGCAGGTTTAACCTCGTACATACTTCCAGGGACTATTGTTGTACTTAAGACTTCTAATAACCCGACGATAAGGGGAAGTATAGGGTTGAGCTGAGCTGGATCATCATTGACAAGGCATAGCGGGGCTCTTCTCCGCCAACGACACCGGGTGACAAACTCAACCTCGCGCTGCGTTGTCCCTCATGCATGATGGGAACTCAAAAACCCTAAGCGCCAAAGTCTTCTGACCAAGTTGCATCGTGTACATGATGACACCGCAGCTCCAAATGTCGCAGGACTTGTCGTACCTGCCCAGAGACTCCCAAAAACAACTTAATTAAGGAACATCCCTTGAATTACAGTAGGAACCCTAATGTTATTGACTCCAAAAAAAACCTTAATTAAGGAACATCCCTTGAAATACAATAGGAACCCTAATGTTATTTTTGAGGTAAATTCCTTCTAATTAAGGGGTTTTGGAGTCACTGGGTGTAGGCTGTGCAGGGCTACGGGTTCGGGATGATGGCGGTCAGGGTTTAGGGTTTAGGGTTTAGGGTTTAGGGTTTAGGGTTTAGGGTTTAGGGTTTAGGGTTTAGCGTTTAGGGTTTAGGGTTTAGGGTTTCAAAGGCTAACCTTAAGGACCAAATGAACCTTGACAGGGTTTATGACTCACATTATACCACAACAGGGATTATAGTAGTATAGGGTATATGGCCCCAATTTTAGGGTTCATGTGGTCCCTAAGGAACCTGATGTGCGCACGTCCCCCTTACCATCCCTCTTAGTAATGAAGAAGTTCCAGAAGAGGCTTTGAAGCAAAGCCGTGCCCAATCCGCTATTTTGCAGTTCCTTTCTTGGGGGCTCTAGGGTTTAGGGTTTAGGGTTTCAGGTTTCACGCGCAGCTTAATTCGTCCTGGGTTTCCCGAACCACCCCCCCCCCCCCTGCCCGCCCCAGGCGCACCGGCCCTGTAGCACTTGGGGCGCCACGTAGTACGGAGTGCCAGCCTGGGGGTCGATTTTAGGGATTGGGGCAGGTTTCGGGCGTTCGGATTCCGTTAGATGGCTGCTGTAGCTTCCACAAGCGTTGGGGATGGTTTGGGTGTAGAGCATGTAGAGGGCTTGCAGGGAGGTTTTAGGGTGTCGGGTTTTCCCAAAACCTAAACCCTAAACCCTAAACCCTAAACTTAGGTCTAGACTTCCGAGAATCGGTTTTGCCTGGCTGCAAGACACGTTCCGCAGCTCAATTCTCACGCACTCCCTCCACTGTGCAAACAGCTGACCGGGCGCACCAGGCATCTCCCGGACTCTACAGAGCCTAAACCCTAAACCCTAAACCCTAAACCCTAAACCCTAAACCCTAAACCCTAAACCCTAAACCCTAAACCCTAAACCCTAAACCCTAAACCCTAAACCCTATAAACCCTAAACCCCAAGAGCCTTCGTGGTCATGTGCACATCCTGCTCGAAGGCTTTGGAGAGACCGAAGTCGATGATCTTCAGCACATTCTTGTCGATGGGGCCTGTGAACAGGGTTCAGGGTTCAGGGTTTAGGGTTTAGGGTTTAGGGTTTAGGGTTAATAGTAATTGCACTTATAGCAGCATTGTTCACCCTGAAAACCTAATATGGGGGGGCCTTAATAGTTAGAATAGGGGTTTTGGGGGCTAGTATAGCTTGGCTGACTTCTGAACCCCTCCCCTAAAAGTTTGTCTTTTAGGCTCCTTGGTTGTAGTTTCTTCAACAACCCAAAAGTTAAAGTCCTAAGAGCCAGCCAGAAAAAAAACCAAGAGCATTGTTGCAGGCTGGTCACAAACTGTCCCTCAGGGCCTTAAGCCCCAAAGTCCCCATAATAGCAAGTAACTTTAAGACCCAGGTATATCCTATTTAGGTACATGGACCCTGAGGGTGTCACTGAGTCGTCCACACCACGCTCACTGCACGACCAAACAGAATGCCAGAGCAGGTCCCCTAAGGGTCCATGTACCTAATTATTGTATACTTGGGCTCCAAATACCTCATATAGCAAGAACTTTAAGGCCCAAGTATTCTCTATTTAAGTACATGAACCCTTTGGGGTCGTCCTGGTACAACATGTGCCAAGCGTTGAGACTGGATGCTTGCAAGCATCCTCTCAGCCTACACAGCCCCACCTATGGGTTTAGGGTTTAGGGTTTAGGGTGCGAGACTGGATGCTCATAAGATACTTCTCAGCCTCACAGCCCGCCGTCATTGCATTCCCGACACTACAGCACCCCGCGTCATTTTGTGAAAGGAGGGCTTTCTGATGTGCCAGCAACCAGAACACTTACTCACAAGAGAAAACAATAGGAGAATCTCCCCGATGTTTTCCTACGCGTCCTCCTTTTGGCTCTAACAACCCCAGTACGAGACTTAGGGGGGTTAGGAGAATGTCGGTAGATTCTCCAGTGACTAGTGACTAGTTTTGTTGCACTTCCCTGAGCCCGTGACTCTAGCAACCTCAGAAAACAATAGGCACTATGATGAACCCTACACCCTCAGCCCTGCAACCCCAAAAGCCCTAAACCCGGGACGTGGGTTAAACCCCTAACCCTAAACCCTAAACCCTAAAATGCTTCCGCAGGCGGGCCTTTTGTCAAGAACAGGAAATTCTCGGGCTTTAGGTCCCGGTGGCAGACGCCACTCGTGTGCATGTACCTCAGCACACTACCCTGAGGCTCTTAATTCAACATAGGGTTTAGGGTTTAGGGTTCTCAAAACCCCATGATTTCAGACCTCAGAACCCTTGCTAGGAGGTACCAGTCCCTCTGTAGGAGGGTCCTGGGAGCCTTAGGGTAGTTGGGTTTCGTGCATTACGTCCTTGCATCTTCTGTGTGAGTGGGTTCAGGGGGTTTAGGTTTATAAGGTTTAGGGTTTAGGGTTAGAATAGGGTTTTTGGGGGATATTCTAGTATACTTATAAAGGGAACATAAGGGAATGTGACTCGGGAACAATTCCGACTCCTATATTACGCAGGTTTTGGGGTTTCGGGCTTGGGGGGTTGGAGTTTTGGGCTTAGGGTACAGAGTTTGGGGTGGACCTCTGAAACCTCGGAGCACCGGCTCCTTCTCGTCCACTGGGTCGGGGAAGGGGTGCAACCCTAAACCCTAAACCCTAAACCCTAAACCCTTTTCCAAGAGACTTCGCCCGCCTCGATAACATCCCCTCTGAGCCAAGGCCGCCCTGCAAGCCCCCCTGTACTCGTGACAGCAAGGCCCCCAATCCCCCTGCACTCTTGACAGAAGGACTAGAGCAGGCGACTCAGCTTCTCGGCCCACGTTTCAGGAATGACACTATAGAGTATGAGAAAGTTGAAAGATCTAAAGGTACTCTCATGAAACCGAACTAGCTCACTATAGAAGCACTGTTGTATCCAATCTTGCAGATGAACGTCAATCACAAGGCCCTCAAATTCCAACTGAATCCAAAGCAGCCAAATCTGTAAAACCTCTTGGATCTGTCCCAATCTTGTAAACTCCTGCAACCCGTATTCCTCATCAATCCACATGACCGTCCACCCAGCTGATGCCACGCACACATGAACTGCTAGGCGCCATGGAGTGTGAAGCCTCACTGTATCTCTCCAAATTCGAAGCCGTTGCGGGTAAACCCTAAACCCTGAACCCAAACCCACCAGGGGCCTGAAGACCTAGGAACGCAGCTCTTGCTGACGAACACATGAGCCGAACAAGTCTTTTTATGGGCCCCGATGCGTCCCCATAACCCCCACGCTAGTGGGGGACTTCGGCAGGAACTAGGTAGGCATCGCAAGTGACCCTAAACGGGTTGAGGGCTTCGGGTTGAAAAACCTACTTTGGGTTCTCCTACTTTAAGGCAGCCCAGCTTTACTCCAGTTGCTGTGTCCACCGATCCTCCAAGAGCCTATGGCCCCTAAGCCCCGAAAGCATGGCCGGGCCGCAGAACGGCAGAAATCATCTGCTGCACCACGATGGCGCAGTCCTGCCAATGCTATACAGCCGCTGCGGCCCATGCCCATGTGGCAGCGGTTTAGGGTTTGGAGTTTAGGGTTTGGGGTTTAGGGTTTTCCCGAAACCCTGAATCCTAAACCACAAACCCAAAACCCTGTATCTACCCAGTTCACGTGACCTTGCAAGGGGGCAAAGTAGCCCATTCATACAGGCCGCGGCCTCAAAACCAATAGTTCCAGACCTTTCCATGCATCCCTAATCTTGAAAACCCTATGGACCCAAGACCACAAACTTCAATTCCTACAACAATGGTTTAGGCTTTAGGCTTTAGGTTTGGGTTTAAGGTTTAGGGTTTCGAGTTTAGGGTTTAGGGTTGAGGGTTGAGGTTTTAGGTTTTAGGTTCAGGGCTTCGAGACTTGACCCGCGCCTTCTCGGTGAAGTGCCCCGCCTCGATGATGCGGTCGAAGAGCTCACCTGGCCACTTTCTGTACTACCAGTTGCTTAGGAACCCTTAGAAAAAAAACAAAGGGTTTAGGGTTTAGGGTTTAGGGTTTAGGGTTTAGGGTTTAGGGTTTAGGGTTTAGGGTTTAGGGTTTAGGGTTTAGGGTTTAGGGTTTAGGGTTTAGGGCTTGATAATCTCCATGTTGCCCTTATAAGAAAGAACAAGGACCCCTTAGACAACAAACACAATATGTAATCCCCATGATGCACTTATAAGAAAGAACATCTATCTTTTTTTGGGGGGGATTATTGAGCATTTGGTAGCGTAAACCCTGGAACCTAAACTGCCTAGACCTGCCCACAAGTGACCTTTGTGCCCTTCTAAACCCTAAACATCCTTTTTGCCATCTGGGCTAGGTGGGGAATGCCAGAAAAAAGCAGCTACTAAGGGTATCCCTAAACCCTAAACCCTTTTTAAGGGTTCTCGGGTTTAGGGTTACAGCGGGCTTGCAAAGATTGGAGGGTTTAGGGTGGTCGGAATAATTACGAAGAGCATTTCTTTATGGTCCCTATACAAATATATACTATAATGGCCCCAAAAACCTTGTTCTATTTATGAAGGCCCCTATAGTAGGGTTGATGGTTTAGGGTGTTGGGGTTCTGGAGGTGTGAAAATCCTGGTCGCAGAAAGCAGAAGGCCCTCTGCTCAAGCTCCCAACCTCTCCCTCACGCAGGCGTGCCTCCTTGGCAGAGCTCCATGACAAGAAAGATCTGCTTCCGGTCCTTGATTGCTGGGATCACCCGGTAGTCAGCAACACAGCAAGACGCAGCCACACCAAGCGCGCCGCAAACTCCAATGCGCAGTACCCTCAACTGTTCTCAAAAAACTCGCAAAAGCCTCAGTCGCCGGGTTCCCACTACGCCAAACCCAAAACCCACAAGACAAACCCTGGCCTCAAAGGTCTCGAACAGCTTGATGATGTTGGGATGGTCCATGGACTTCATAATGGCGATCTCCTGTGAAGGGCAAGAGCCACAAAACCACAGAAGCTTACATTCAGAGCCACAACAGCAGAAGCCAACATTCAACTGAGGATGAGTGCCACAGCAGGACGCCCGAAAGTGTCCGTCAGCCCTTTTGCCAAGGCTTACCGTCCCAGATCAAATTCCGACTGTCCTGCATGAAGCGCTGGACATGCTTAATGTTGCCTCGGATGAAAGCTTGGTCAGGACTTGAAGGGTTGCGGGGGCACAAGAGCCATTGTAGACCTTAAGCCCTAAAAAAATTGTCTTTGAGTTCACCCTAAACCCTAAACCCTAACCCCTAAACCCTAAACCCTATTCAAAGCTAAACCCTAGCCTATGGGAACAAAGGGCGGAGGAGCATTACGTCTGAAAGCAACCGACCAAGGAATGGGTTTTAGGGTTCAAGGTAACCCTAAACCCTATACCCTAAACCCCCAAACCCTAACAATGAGGCCTACTCCGGGTCCTAGGCAATTAAGGGTGGCGCGCGGCATCCACTGGAGTCGTTTCTGGGCATCCCCCACCTCAACCCTCAACCTTCAACCCTAAATCCTAAACCCTAAACATTCCTAATCCCTAAACCCTAGAGCCCCTAAACAGAACAACAAAACACACACGCAAAGACCTCCATAGGCGGGGCTCCCTTGTACACCCTTAACCCTAAACCCTAAACCCTAAACCCTAAACCCTAAACCCTAAACCCTAAACCAGGCGGGGCACCCTTAGACATGGTCTTGATGGCGCGCTCCACGTTGGTCAGCTGGTGCACCCCAATGGCCACGGAGCCATAGGTGCCCTCGCCAATCTTCTTCGAGTCCAACCTGGGCAAGCAAGGGTTTAGGGTTTAGGGTTTAGGGTTTAGGGTTTAGGGTTTAGGGTTTAGGGTTTAGGGTTTAGGGGCTTACGGCTTCAGGGTTTTGGGGCTTTCGCGCTCTGGTGAGCTGGCTCTTCTCAGAGATTTTCGAAATGCCGTAGCGGCTTTTTGCCAATGCCAACCTCTCAGGTCATTCAACACTGCCAAGGTACTTATAGAAATCTTTGATCTGCCCAGGATTGCTGAGAATGAACTGCCTGCGGTTGATGCCGTCTGCCTGCGTGGGCCGGCAGCAAGTCAGAGAGCAACCCCGAAGGGTCCATCTACAAAATTATTACAAACTTGGGCCCCGAATTGCCTATATTGCAAGTACTCTAAGGCCCCCAAGTGTTCCCTATCTAGGTACATGGACCCTGGATGACCCTGTAAAGTACAAGCACAGGAGGAAGGCAAACAGAACTCGAACCCCGCATTTTCGTCAGCCACCCCCTTCTTGCCACGAGGGTTTAGGGTTTAGGGTTTAGGGCTTGGGGTTTAGGGCCAAAACTTAGGGTTTCGGGTTTAAGGTTTAAGGTTTAGGGTTTAGGGTTTAGGGTTTAGGGCTCAGGGCCAAAACTCGACTGGTCTGTCCTTCATCATCCTGGAATTGGTGGAAGATGTTCCGGCGTCCTTGGCTTGCCCCCCCATTTTAGGGTTTAGGGTTTAGGAGGAGGGATACCCTAAACCCTAAACCCTAAACCCTAAACCCTAAACCCTAAACCCTAAACCCTAAACCCTAAACCCACACGATGCGACTTTTTTGGAGGCCTGAGGGCTTCGGGTTTTAGGGCTTTCGCGCTTGCAGGTTTGGGGTTTCCCGACTTTTGTGTGTTGTGGGGGAGCGGGGGAGAAAGAGGGGGGGGGGGGGCGGGGGGGCAGGGGGGGGGGGGGGGGGGGGGGCAGGGGGGGCAGGGGGGGCAGGGGGGGGGTAGGGGGGGCAGAGGGGCAGAAGGGGGGGGGCAGGCGGGGCAGGGGGGGGGGCAGGGGGGGGGCGGGGGGGGGGCAGGGGGGGGGGGGGAGGGGGGGGGAGGGGGGGGGAGGGGGGGGGGGAGGGGGGGGGAGGGAGGGGGGGGGGGAGGGGGCGGGGGGAGGGGGGGGGGGGGGGGGGAGGGGGGGGGGGGGGGGGGGGGGGGGGGCGGGGGGGGGGGCAGGGGGGGGGGCACGGGGGGCGGCAACCAAAAGTACAAAGAAAGAAATGTACATTTATGGCTGCTGAGGCTGGTAGGATTCAAGGGCAAGCAACGAAGGCATAAGAAGCCCTAAGCACATTGCTGTCCAAAACCCCACAACCAAGGGTTTATTTAAAAGCACCAGAGCACCGAGACAAACATACCAAACTTGCCAAGTGTCACTAGGGTATCCTCCATTGACCTGTCGCAGAAGCTGTGGTTCTGTGCGCCCGTACGACGACTGCTGCCTACATAGGTGAGGAGTCACACCCAAAGAGTACCACCGTGAGCTGCCCTGCACCCTAAACCCGAAAGTAACAACTGTTTTTGCCCTAAGCCTAACAAGTGTAAACCCTAGACCCTAAACCCTAAACCCTAAACCCTAAACCCTAAACGAATACAAAGCCGGACCTGGTGGGCTTTGTCGTCCTGAGGGACTTGTAGGCCTGAAGCGAAGCTAGGATGATTGAGGGTTTGGGGCTTACAATTACGAGGAGACACCCCCTTAGTTACAGGTAGAGTAGCCAGGGCCCTCAAGAGGAGAGCTTAGGTTCTAAGTCCCTTAGACAAGGTTAGTTGAACAAATGGGTGTAAAGTCTAGGGTGATCAATGATGGGCGTTTGGGTCCAGGGTTCATTCGTTATAGCTCAGGTTGGAACCATCCCCTAAACCCTAAACCCTAAACCCTAAACCCTAAACCCTAAACCCTAAACCGGGCCTTTTGTATGGTCCCTTACCCTTGTTCGCAGAGATCCGAAGTATGGGCCCTTATTCTGTACAGTGCATATATATGGGTTATATCACAGGGGACCCAATGGCAAATTCAGGGCCCATACTTGGAACCCTAGATCATAAGACCCCCCAGACGCGCGCGTGTAGTTTCTTGTCTGGATAATTACTGCCAAGTGTACATGATTACGAATAAGCAGCTACACCCTAAACCGCCAGCCAAGAATCTATGGTTTCGAGCCGGGTTCTTCCCGCCACATGCGCCTTGGATCGTTTTTGCTCGCCACGGGCAGTTCCACTAAGCCAGGTTTTGGGTCGGATCTGTTTAGGGTTTGGGGCTTTGGTTTTGTGTTTTTCTGTGCGGGTGTGGGGTCTTGGGGTTGTTTAAAACCTAAACCCTAAACCCTAATGAGGGCTTAGGGACGCCCTCAAACCCTAAACCCTAAACCCTAACCCTGAACACAACAGTCACTAGACCCCTTCCGCGTTGACAACCAGTTGACAGCCCCAAGACCCGAAGAGCTGTGATTAAGGGGCCGAAGCTGGGTGTTAGGGTATAGGGTTTAGGGTTTAGGGTTTGGGGTTTAGGGTTTAGGGTTTAGGGTCAGTCTCTTTAACAACAGCTCCCCTGCAGATAGATCCATAAAGTTTTGAAGCCTGAAACCCGAAACGCAGTCTAACCCCCAAACCCGCCACTTGCGGGTTTAGGGCCTCAGGACCCGAGCTTAAATTTTGCAAGGAGGGGCCCCTAGCTATTAAGGACCTTAACTTGGGCTATCATGATCCTATCTTCGGTTATCAGTCCCTGACCTATAGTAAGCACAGCAACCCTAAACCCTAAACCCTAAACCCTAAAGCCCTAAACCCTCAATCGACACTCCTTGTACAAGCCCTTAAACTCCAGCACGCCCCACCATGCCCAAAGTGTGTTAACCCCAAGTCCCCAAGTCGAGACCCGAAACCCTAAATGCCCTAAACCCTAAACCCTTTTGAACAACCCTAAACCCTAAATCCTAAACCCTAAACCCTAAACCCTAAGCCCTACAAAACTGAAGCTTCGCGGCCCATGGCTTTCGCAGCTCTTAGCTGCCACCAGGGCCTATAAGGGGAGGTGTCTACGGAAGACACTTGAGCCGGCAGGCAGATGATAGGGGTTTTAGGGAGGTTTAGGGTTTAGGAACCCTTTTGCCTAGAACCCTAAAACCCTAAAACCCGAAAACCCTAAACCCTAAACCCGCAGGGAAGGTCAGGGTTTAGGTCTTAGGGACTGTTAGGGCGTTAGGGAGTTTTAGGGTTTTAGGATTTTTGAGCCGGCAGGCGCCTGAGGTGCCTTAGGGAGTTTTAGGGTTTCGGGCTTTAGGGTTGTTAGGGAGTCTTAGGGTTCGAGGGAGTCTTGGGGCCTAGGGTCTAAGGGTCTAAGGGTTTAAGGGTTTTTGGGTTCAGGGTTTAGAGTTTAGGGTTTGTTCAGGGTGGCTGCCTCACATATGTTCTGGCTTCTGGTTGACAGCTTAGGGTCTAGGGTGCCGCTAAGCTTGCCGGGATTTTGGATGGGTTTGTGCGTGGGGTTGCTGGCTTGATGGTAGAGCTTTCCAGGGCGCGGGCAACTAGACCCAGCGGGAGCCTGGGTTGAACAAACAAAATGGTGCCCTTTTTGGTTTAAAGGCGCCTGTAAGACCCTAAACCCTAAACCCTAAACCCTAAACCCTAAACCCTAAACCCTAAACCTGAACCCTGTTTTAAGACTGGAGCTGAGGCCAGCGCAGCAACCATCCATCCAGCTTGTTGCCAGATCAACACAATCAGGTTCCCTAAGCCCTAAACCCTAAACCCTCAATCCCCCTAAACCCTAAACCCTAAACCCTAAACCCTAAACCTAAAAAGGGGATGAAGGTCTTACTCTGGGTCCTAGGCAATGGAGCACTGCCTGTGACCGTGAGTTTTAACTACACTTATCCCGAAGCACATCTCCATTGAAACATTAGTCTGCGACAGCTACTATTTGGTTAATAAGAACCCCCAAAAAATAAAAGAAAATAATCCCTATATTGCTCTTATTCTTATAAGGAAGTCTATTTTCGATATTTTTGGGGATTATCGTTGGCGGTACCATAACACCTAGTAAGGTCTAATAGTATAAGGGCGTTATAAGGGGGCACATCCCAATGAGGGTTTTTTTGTCTTATACTACCATAATCCCTACTAAGGCAATATGAACCCTAAACCCTTTTAAGGTTCATTGGGTCCTTATAAGGTGAGGGGATTTTTGTCCCATAACACGCGCTTGCCATGTTCCGTGTGCCGAAAGCCATCGGTAAGGCCGAGGCCATCGGAGGAGCCCACGACGCAAGCATCCAAGACGTGTATATATACATATCCATATCCATATCCATATCTATATATATATATATATGTTTATTTATTTACATTTGTATATACGTATATATGTATATATAAATGTACATGTATCTATTTATTTATTCATTTATATACATATACACGTTATAAATATGATATCTTATTTTACATATATATATCTATACATATTCTATATATATGTATGTTTGTATCATTACTTCCACAGCAACCCTGAACGCTAAGCCCTAAACCCTAAACCACAACTTCCCCTAACCCAAGAATGCGACTCGCGCTCAACGTGCGCAGGGTGCATCGCGCGCGAAGGCCCTTATGAAAAGGGTCTCAACAACTTTTTTCCAGGAGTCACCTGGGAATCACAAGGGTGCCCTGCTTGCTTTTTAGGAGGTAAGAAGGGAACCCTAACCCTAAAAAAAGGGAAATAAAGGGCCTACTCCGGGTCCAAGAACACTTGTTACAGGTAAAGGCTTCCAGGCTATACTCTGGGTGGCCACGGCGCAAGGCCTGTAGGGAAAAGGCCTGGGAGGGGCCCCCTTCTTCCTGTACTAGCTGAGGTTACAAGACAGATAACCTACAAGAAGAGGCCCCCCACCCCCCTTTTTACTCAGAAGTAGAGTCGCAAGGACCCTAAATTGGGTGATAAGGATCCTATCTTAGGCTATAAGTCCCTTAAACGCTAGTTAGTATACAAAGGAGGCTCCTTGGAAGTTATCGTTCTTACAACGACTAGGCATTACCCGCCACGGCTGGCGGTCTTGCAGCATTGCGACGCAGGCTCCAGAATTCTGTCGCTGCGGCTGAAGACGACCGAACAAGCTGAACGAAGGATCAGGTACAACTACCTCTCTCTCTCTCACAGACTCCTCTAGCAATGGCAAATGTCTTGCAGGAATCAGAGCGGCTCATCCCTGCTCGCATAGCCGCGGCGACCTTACATGGCATCTATGCCAGCTTTGAAAACAGTTGCGCGGGCCAGATGTTGGAGGCTTTCCCTCCATCTCCGCGTTGGCGGACAACGGCTCGCAGGATGCGCGCAGAGTCGGCACAGGTTCGTTTGTGCATAGGAAGGCTGGAGAGGATTTCTAGGATGGCCCTGAAAACCCTCTGAAGAAGATTCCTACATATGATCCTCTTCAACCCAACAAGGGAGAACTTAACAGTATCCCAAGGACCTAGCTAGATTAGTTTAGGGTTCATAGGTGGATAACTCCGACTGGGTCGCGCTTAAACCTTCTAACCCCATGTAGCCATATAACTCTACTTATAGCTGCCGGGGAGGGGGGGGCGGGGGGTGTTCTTACCCTAAACCCTAAACCCGAAACCCTAAACCCTAAACCCTAAACCCCAAGTGGCCGAGACGAACCAACCTGGAAGCTTAACTCCATGCGCGCACCGGAAACAGCATCTCTTCCTGTCTTTGAGGTGGCGAAGCCAAGAGGAGAGAGGCAGGTTTAGGGTTTAGGGTTTAGGGTTTAGGGTTTAGAGTTTAGGGTTTAGAGTTTAGGGTTTAGAGTTTAGGGTTTAGGGTTTTGGGGGCCTCAGGGGTCGGCGCCTCACATCGTGCTACGCGACTGGTCTGTCAAAGTAAAGCTGAGGCCCATGTCCTGAATCACTAAATTTGGGCTTGTGGCTTGTGCTGATACCCGTATGCTAAGGATTCCAAACTCAACAACAACCACCTCTCACATAGCAAAGCGCAAAGGCTCTAGGTTGAAAGGCTCGAGCCTAGGCTCGTCGGGAGTTCTTGCGGTTTTGGGTGGGTTCAGGGGTTTCTCATGCACTGGACTAGCAGGTGAAGTTAGTTTTTGTTGGCCTTTCGCTTCTTTTGCATTTTTTTCTCCCTCCCCTTGCTGCTTACGTGCTGTAACCTCCGGACCGAAAGCCAAACCCAACTTGTGCAGGGAGAATGCTTGGGTTCCAGAGGTCTCCAGCATTGCCAGGGCTCTCACTCTCAACGCCGTTGCTATATCCTACTAGTTGGCTAAGAACCTCGCCAAAACAAGATAAAAATGCTATATTACCCTCATCATAAGCAAGAATATCTGTGTGTGTGTGTGTGTGTTTTTTTTTTTTTTTTTGGGGGGGGGGGGGGGGTT